GACTTAAATTTAGGAATTTCACATAAACATTGTTAAATTTAAGACATAGCTAACAAACGTAAACAAAAGTTGGTAAAAATAAGAAAAGTTGGTAATCAATAAACTTGTTAAGTAGCTCAAATGAGAGTTGGTAACAAAAGTTAGTTGGTAAGTTAATCGGATAAAAGTTAGTAAGTCAATCTAATAAAGACCAATAATTTCTCAAAATAAAAATGGGAAATTATAAGTGTTGAGAAAAAGAGAAATTTTTTTTTTGTAGAAGACAAGAAAATTTTGACGAATAAGAAAAATCAAATAAATGCCGATAAGTAACTCCCATGAGAGTTGATAACCTATGTGGAAATTAATGGGAGAAAAGTTGGTGAATCACGCTAATTTATGTTGGTCTAAAAAGAGTTAATAAATATAAGGGATTGCTAACCAAGACAAATAAAAGTTGGTAACTCAATAGAAAGGTTGCTAAAATAAAAAAAAATTAAACTAAAAAAATCAAATGAGAGTTGGTAACCGAAAAAATAATTGGTAATTTAGTCTGACAAAAGTTGGTAAGTCATTCTAATCTAGGTTAATAATATCATATTAGCATTAAAAAAATTTAGAACGTTAGTAAGTTATGTAAATGAAAGTCTATAACTTAGCACAAAATTTTTGCTAATTTGCAAACTATCAAAAAAGTTGGTAATTACGTAAAAGCGTTAGTAAGTTACCAATAAGTTAGTTTAAAAAAAAAGTCAGATGTCATAGTTTTTACCAATAACTTTTTACACTTACCGACACTAATTGAAATTTACCGAAACAAAAAAAAAGAATTTGTAATTTTTGGCATAAAACAATAGGATTTTGCGATTTTAATCTACCCACCATTCGTTTTAAAGCATTAAATTGTATCACAAACTGGTGTTTAACCGTTTATGTTTTTCCTTATGAATTATCTTAGAGAAAACAAACCAAATTTGGGAATCAGGCAATCTGATTATTTTGGTGTGGGTAGACTTGGATTGACAGGTAATTTAGTTGAATTCAGGGGTGGCAAATGAAGTGGTGTCATTGTGTCTGTACCGGTTATTCATGTTATCAATAATAAACTTTAACGTGGTCGATAATTTTTTTTTATTTATTGAAAATGGTGAAAACACATAATTTTGTGTCAGTTTCGAGTTAAACATGTCATATTGTGTTGGATTCGAGTTTTTTTCAATAAATTATGTTTGTGTATAAGTCATGTTTTCTTATCATGTAAAGAATTAAGGGATAATGACACAAATAGTCCATAAACTTTGACTTAATGTGCAATTTGGTCCCTAAACTTTTAATTTGTTCAATGTAGTCCCTAACAGTTAACATAATGTTCAATTTGGTCCCTGAACTTTTAATTTGTTCAATGTGGTCCTTGAACTTTTAATATGTGTTCAAATTTTTTTTTTTTTGGTAAAGAAATATGTGTTCAATTTAGTCACACGAACTATATGAAAATGTTCAATATAGTCCTGCACTTGAATCAACACAAGGACTATATTGAACATTTTCAAATAGTTCAAGGACTAAATTGAAACATATTAAAAGTTCGGGGACCACATTGAACAAATCAAAAGTTCGAGGACCAAATTGAACATTATGTTAAAGTTCGGGGACTACATTGAACAAATTAAAAGTTCGGGATCAAATTACACATTAGGTCAAAGTTTAGGACTATTTGTGTCATTTTCCCAAGAATTAACACCCATGTGAGAGGGCTATATTCTCCATGGATTCTGTTATTTTGGTTTTTGAAAAAAAACGTGTGTTAAATCATTAATATCGCTTGTTCATAAGGTTTCAATGGTTTTATATTCATCTAGGCTCCCTCCATCTAGTCGTTAGCTTAAATTTTTGGATTTAACTTTCTAAAATTGCGTAATTTGATAGAGGTAACTTAGTGAGTGACAAGTGAAATGCACCGAGCATATTACAAAACACCTGTGACAAATTTATAGGCAATGAATGTACTGAGGTTGACAAGCATACAGTAAGTAGTGAATTATATGAGATTGGATATCCTTCATGATCGGCTTGGCTGTTGAAAATTTAGACGTTGGAGTAGAAACCGTTTTGTGAGATAAAAAGGGTCAACTAGCAGCAAGATACTTGAGCTAATCATAGGCCATTGCCAAGAAAGGCAAATTAATGTGCTTTCCTCAACTCAGGAGAAAACAATGCATTATTGCATACACTGTGACCACTGACCATGTAATCTTCTTCATGAGTAGATACATGTTGGTCAAAGCTTCATCTCAAGGAAAGTTCATAATTTAGTCTGGACAAATCAATGATTTTAAAATGCTACTTTTTTTTCTCCTCTTTTTGCTTCTAAGACATGCTAATGTGGTTGTACATTTGATCTCTCGCCCATCTTGTGATGGCTGGCGACACAGGTACAGAGACGAAGAGGATCTACTGAGGTTCCCGAAGAGAGAGGAAGTGCACACCATATTTCCGCTCTTCGTTGGCGCCATGGAGACTGGAAGAATCACGAAGTCTTCCTTCAGAAATTGGATGGTAATAATTTTGATCCAACTATGCCTCGGCAATTTATTGAGGTAAAAGGTTGATTGAAGCATCATTTTGGCAATCCGCAATGTTTTCATTTGCATTTGGTAGGTGCATGCCTATTTCGAGCGCAGGGCACTTGCGCATTCCCTTAACGACACCAAGACCGCCATGCAACAGCTGCACAAGTTGGCCAGCGCAATTGTCCTTGTGATCATAATCATCGTCTCGCTCCTGGTCACGGGGCTGGCCACTACCAAGGTGATCTTTGTGGTCACGTCACAGCTGCTGCTCGTGGGGTTTATGTTCCAAAACACCTGCAAGACCGTGTTCGAGTCCATCATCTTCGTCCTCGTGATGCACCCTTTTGACGTCGGTGACCGCTGCGTCATCGATGGCATTCAAGTGGCACTTTGCTCAAAGTAATTAAGGATATATAATACCAATCATGAAACTGCTACAAAGAGCTGATAGATTATCTTTCCCTTTCTCAGATGCTTGTAGAGGAAATGAGCATCCTGACGACGGTGTTCCTGCGCTACGACATGGAGAAAATTTATTACCCAAACTCAGTCCTCACAAAGCCGATTAGCAATTTCAGGAGAAGCCTAGACATGGCCGATTCTATTGATTTCGTCATTGATGTTTCCACTTCGATCGACACCATCAATGCTCTCAAGAAGGCCATACAATTGTAATTATAACCGATGCCAACAATCTGCCTATGTGACTACAGAGTTACTTAGGTTAAAAACTTCGCAAAACAAGGTGAAAAGCATGCCATGCTAATTCGGAAAAAGTGTTGAATGTAGGTACTTAGAGAGCAAGCCGAAGCATTGGAGCCCGAAGCACTCGGTGAGAGTGAAGGAGATCAAGAACGTGAACAAGATGAAGATGTGCCTATACGTCCAGCACACAATGAATCACCAGAACTACGGCGAAAGGAACAGCCGGAAGTCGGAGCTCATCCTGGAATTAAAGAAGATGTTCGAAAACTTGGAGATCAAGTATCATCTCCTGCCTCAGGAGATCCATCTCTCCCAGGTCAACCTGCTCACTGGCACTGCAAGATTTGCCAGTTTCATGTGATTTTGATTTTAATGCAATCTAGTGACTGTCTCTCTCTCTCTCTCTCATCTTGAGGTGTGCGAATGTTAATAGCAAAATGTCAGGGACAAAGTGTTGATCCATTTTGCACAATGGAACTGATAAAGATCTCCTGTATTTGCATTTTCTGGCGTTACCAAGTCTTTGCTTATTGTGACACTACTGCAATCTGCATCAGAATCAACAACATTGACTGATTTCTCCAGGAAAAAGAAAAGGGAAAAGTTCCCATGTGCTGTAAAGTTCTTCCTCGTGCAAACTCAGAAGGTCTTCATTGTTCATTGATAGCTTTCAGATGAGAACAAGACTCATCCGATATTGCAATTTGTGCTGCTGTGAATAAACATAAACATCAAAATCAAAGTACTAAAATCCATAAGCTACTACAACGATGGTCTTGCTTTTAACATATGAAAAAGTAGGGGGATAGTTTACCTCTTACAATTGATCCACGACGCGATTTCATCTTTAGCATGCGTTTCGATATCGTTTCGACATCTTGATAGTTAGGTATGTACTTATCAATGAAGGGGTTCGAGTGATTATATGTTTACCAATTGATTTCCCATATGTGAAGGCAAAATATGACCACAAGCAAAGTTTGCTTCTTTTACAAGCATATGAACAAGTCCAAAAGACAGGACAAGACCGTAACTACTGATAAATACAGTCGACACCCTTCATGAGCCCGGTTCCATTGGTGTAGTGCAAATCCACATTGGTTCCGTATGATTTAGCGGACGATGTGTTGGGATTATATGTTCGGGTCGCAGTTGATAATTTTCCCAAATTCGTAGTTCTGAAATAATTTTGGACAGTTTCATTAGCCAAAAATAAAAGGGAAAATGACACAAAGGGCACTTGAATTTTGACTCAATATTCAATGTGGTCCATGAAATTTTAATTTATTCAATATGATCCATGAACTTTAGTCCAATGCGCGCTATCGTCCCTAAAATTTTAATTGTTAAATATGGTCCATACACTTTTGATCAATTCAATCCATTGACTATATAGAAATATTCAACGTTGTCATTTTATTAATTTAAGTTCACGAACAACAACTAAATTGAAATTTAAAAGTTGAGAGACGACATTGCACGTTAGGCTAAAATTCAAATATCGCATTGGTCAAAGTAAAACTCGATAGACCATTCGTGTAATTATCCCAGAATAAAAAGGGAAACGAAAGAAGTAAGATCGATAAAAAACCCCTCCAAAACCCGCGCCAGAGGGAAAGGCTCGGACCGGACCGAGCCGGACCGGTTCGATCGGGCTGCTGGAGTTAGAGAGTTGCCTCTTCCCTCCCCCCCCTTCCTCCGCCACTCTCCATGCCCAGAGCTGGACGAAGAAGAAGAAGAAGCAGCAGCAGCAAAAACCCTTTTTCCATGGCGCACCCCAAATTCTAACTGATCGATTCATCTTCCGTCCTCCCGGCAAAACCCTAACACGCACGCCCTCTCCCTCCCTCTCTCCGAGCCGCGAAAATGTCGGCGCCCATGCTGGAAATCGAAGCCCGCGAGTATGTCCTCTTCTCCTTCTTACCTCCTCGTATCTCCCTCTGTTTCGGCTGTGTTTTTCTTGTCGTTTTGGGTGGTTGGATGTGGGCAGAGCAGATTGCCTGTAGCTTTGGTTGTTTTGATCTCAAAGTTTTTGTCTTTTGGTGGAGAACTTGTGTCTGTCCTCTCGGTGCTCTCTGTTTCCGCATGCTTGAGTCTCCTACCATGCGGTGAACTGATCACTTCTAGTGAATGTGACGACCCTTTTTCCCAATTCCCAGCGTGGTGAAGATCGTGCTCCAGTTCTGCAAGGAGAACTCGCTGCACCAGACGTTCCAGACCTTGCAGAGCGAGTGCCAGGTCTCCCTCAACACGGTCGACAGCATCGAGACGTTCGTCGCCGATATCAACAGCGGCAGGTGGGACGCCATATTGCCTCAGGTCGCCCAGCTTAAGCTTCCCAGGAATAAATTGGAGGATTTGTATGAGCAGGTAAGGGTGCTACTTATGTTCTTTTGACGTCGCGCGTCGATGTTTTCTGTCGACATGCTTGTTGGGCCTTGATGACTATTGCCGACATAGACTGAGAGGGGCTAATTGGTGCCGACATATGATCGAAGGGTGAGGAGGCACTAGGGAGTGCTTTCTTTGGTCCTCTGTTGGTTATGTTAGAATAGTGATCAAGGAAGACCAAAGTGCCTGGCTTGGCTGTTGAAACCTGCCTTGCTTGAGGTCGAACTTCTGGTATTTATATACTGTGAGAAAATTAAAATAGTGCTATATTCGCGGTTATACAATGGTGGTGGAGATTTGGTGAGGATATCACGCTGGCCCGTACTTGTTGGAGCGACAATTGGCATAGTTGTAGGAGCAAATGGTTTCCAAAGATTTGGAATTATGTAAAAAGAGGAGGAAAATAGTAACTGTGATTGAGGTGAGTACATCTTTTTTTTTGGGTTAGTTTGATGGGACAAACTGGAACCTTGGCGATGATGAGTGATTCTTGGGCATATGATTCTTTAATTTGCGCTTTTTCAGTTGTTCTTCTTCTAATTTAGTAAGAAGATTTCTCTCTTTAGTGGGGTACCAAAGGTATGCTGGCTCCTACACAAAATATATGCGACGCAAATTATCCTTCATCAGTGTTGTGATTAGCATTGACTCTGTATGGCAATTATACCAACTTGAAGTGATGAACCAAGATTCCTTCCGATGGCCCAGGAGCAGTCTTTGTTCCGTTGAACACTCTTCTAAGTCTCTCTCTGCAAATCAGCTACTAAGTTGTTTAAGGAATATAGTGGAGAGGCTTCTTCCCTTCCTTTTGTACATAGATGCCTTCTCACAGCCTTAATTTCTTCTCCATCGTCATCATAATTGCCCAGTTTAAACCAACTACAGAAAATGTCATGCTTCATAATTTCATTTTCATGGAACAATGGAGTTGCAGATGCTTCATTGTTTCAGCTGAATTCTCTCAAATGCTGCATATATTCACCAAAACTTCTCCTTTTTTTTTTTACTCAACCAGAAAGTTTCCCACTTACAGTCGGTTGGATAACTAAAGAGTCACTTAGGCTTCTTTTCTTTTTGGCATGTCCCTTACTTGAGTTTATTTAGGATAACAATACACTACAATATATTTCTTTTTTTTCCTTTTTCCAGATTGTATTGGAAATGATTGAACTTCGTGAGTTGGATACTGCTCGTGCAATTTTAAGGCAAACTCAGGCAATGGGTGTCATGAAGCAGGAGCAACCTGAAAGATACTTGCGACTCGAGCATCTGCTTGTTAGAACATATTTTGATCCCAATGAGGTTAGGTTTCCTGTTTATGTAACATGACCATTGATTAGTGCAGGGTTTTGTCAAATTTGGTTTTTAGCTCTTTTGTTGCTTTTCTTATGTTAAGGTTAGGTCCTGCTGCTTTTTTGTCAGAGTTACATTCCCTTTTCAAATAGATGTTTTGGGACTAATTTATATGACGTGATCTTATTTCTTGATGACGTCAAAGAATGAATCTTGTAAAATTGCCGAAAATATGTTGACATTCTCGAGTTGGTTTTTCATTTGAGGCATAAAGAAATTTAGGGACTCTTTTCCGCCTTCAAATGTACGTGAGTGTTTCTTCCCACTCCGAAGTACAAATTAAAGTAGCAAGTTTAAAAATTTAGCTAATGTACACAAGGAAGAAGCTGATTCTGGAAAATTGCTTAGATTTTGACAGATTAATTTCATCATGGTCGGAGATTTGCTGGCTTGGATTTAGCACTCTTTTTTGGCCAATGGTTGTAGTCTGGTGACTGCAACTCATCAGATGCGCAGACTTTAGAGAGTTCTTGAAAATGCTAGGTGAATTAATAGGATCTTAGTTCCTATCACAATGGACATTACATGAACAAATGAAAGAAAATGCCATGCCATTGCCAGTCTTGATCTCCATCTTTAATTGATAAGATGCGCAGACTTTAGAGAGTTCTTGAAAATGCTAGGTGAATTAATAGGATCTTAGTTCCTATCACAATGGACATTACATGAACAAATGAAAGAAAATGCCATGCCATTGCCAGTCTTGATCTCCATCTTTAATTGATAAGCCTCTGAATCATCAGTCTGTGCTGAATCTAAATAAGGATCAATTTCATGATCATTGTCATCTTGATCTTATTTATGTGCAAAAAGCTATATGTTTTGACTGGAAAATTAATAGCAACAATGTGGCGAGAGGTTGTTTTGCAGCCAGGCATCCTTGCATGTGTATGTGAGTGCCTATGGGGCTACTTTTTCGGGTGCACATGTACACATGCTATGTGTCAGCGTGCTTGCATGCTTGTTTAAATGCTTTCCATGCTTGTTTTAGTTTAGATATTCCATTTGCAAGCTCGATTTGGATATATGTTTAACATAAAGAAATTGTTAATTGGTACATGCTGATTTGGATGCATGTGAATATTGTTTAAATTATTATTATTACTTTTGGTACATTTTCTCCTATTATCTTCTTTTTCATAGATGCTTACATGTTTTGTAGCATATCTGAAGGTTGCATATTTTTTGCCAGGCTTATCAAGATTCAACAAAAGAGAAACGGCGTGCACAAATTGCCCAAGGTGTAATCCTTCTCCATTTTTCTTTCTCACTAAAATTATTTTGGGGTTTCTCAATGTAATCTAATGTCCGACTGTGTTGCTTTGACGAGTATAATAATGCTAAATGTATGGTTTTGCCTGCTGTCTTCTTTAAAATAAAAGAAAGGATTTCTTCCTGTCCCATTTACATGGTACAGCAGAATGCTGTGTATTTTAGACAGTGTGATGAAACTAAACTCACTTCGACATTGGACTGGGTAGAACTGGCATTGGTGTTAATTAAAAGTGAAGGCTTGTGGTACCAAGGATGTAGTTTCCAGCATGGAATTGTAACTGTTACTTTATAGAAATGCTGCTTTCTTTTTTTCTTTGGTGTGGTAAAAGATGAGCAACTGCTTGTTATGCCTGCCCCGCATTTGGTCTCTTATGGTTTCTGGCTTCAATGATAGTCCTTATTCTGGTTCATGACTTGAAATTTCTACTCACAATGCCTATTTGGTTTTCCTTCCTTCTGCTCTTTGGCATTTCTAAGCTATTGCAGCAGAAGTTACTGTAGTGCCGCCTTCACGATTGATGGCCCTAGTGGGGCAAGCGCTCAAGTGGCAGCAGCACCAAGGTGTGGATACAGATGCTTTCTCTTTCAACATTTATCAAGTTTTTATCTAGATTATCATAATTTATTTTGCTACGTTACTTGGCAGTAGCTTTACTGTTTTTATAGATTCCTTTTATCCTCTTCCCCCACTTTTGGTACTTCTCCCTCCAAATAATCCCACAGCCGTATTTTTGAAGCAAACCTGTTTGGGTTGCCTTCATATACCTTTCCGATTAAAATAGAACTTAGCTAATGTTTGAGTGAATCATATTAGACGGCATCCTTGGCTTTCCATGGCATGCATGATTTGGATGAAGTGCTGGCTATAACTGTAAATGAATGAGGAAAGTGGCGTTATCTGGTCATGTTTAAGGTTTATACTTCATTTCCTTGCTTTAGATTAAAGTTTACTGATATTGTTTTGGAAATGTTCTGCCATTCCTTTAGGGTTACTACCTCCAGGAACCCAATTTGATCTATTTCGAGGAACTGCTGCTATGAAGCAAGATGTGGATGATATGTACCCCACAACTCTTTCACACACCATAAAGGTAGGCTCTGATGTTGTCTCCCTCATTTCTTTCACATATGTTCTATTTTCACCCATCAAAACTTTCTAGACTAAAATTAACTTTCTTGTGCTCAAAGCTGGTCTGCTTCATTTGATATGATGGAGACTGGACTGATACAACAATAACAACCACCAAGTGGGGTTGGCTATGTGGATTGTTTTAGGGAATTGCCTTATGTAATATAGCATATACTTCCTCAAAATAAGAAAGGACCGAAAATCTCTCTTTAAAGTATCCACCTGTCTTTTTTGTTATTCTTTGGTCCCTCTTACCCTGTATGTTGCCCATAATGTCACATATTCTCTTTATAGATATCAAAGTCTATCTTCACCTGTCCAAATCATCATAAACAAATTCTCTAATCATATCCTCAAGTAGAACCATGCCAACCTTTCCTCCTGTTCACCGCATCCACCATCATGTGATTCCTGTCAAAAGAGATAGCTGTATTGTACCTGGCTTCCAATGCATTTATTCTGATTCTACCTTTTTTGTGTATCCACACATGCTTGGAAGCATTCTCATTTCAGCTATACTTATATTATGTGCATTTGATTTTTGGGCAGCATCATTCTGCTGGATCTAGTATTGCTGTTGTTAATGTTGTCCAATAGAATTTTCCCCTAAGTTTAGGTGGTATTTTGTGGTCATCAAGATACCAAATGCACTTTATTCGATTCATCTGTTTGTATGTAGTGGATCGGATCCATTACAAGTTCTCCATTCCTTCGTAAAGTGGATCCAAGTTACTGAAATCGCTTGCTTTGGTATCTCCAAGTGTCAATTTCTGCTAATACTTCGTTTAAGTCGCTTAGTTGAGTAGACATCATCTCCATGTACTCGCTTTTTGATGACTCAAATAGAAGCCCTTGGATTCCAAAGTTTTTCTGCATGGTTCTAGCTTCACATTAATTGTAATCCACCAGTGTGATATCGTCGGCAAAGAGTATACATCAGAGAATATTCCTGTTATTGGGACATCCTTTGTTCTCCCTCCAACAGAAGTCACAACTTAATTATGAATGTCTCTCATTGTTTCTACATAAGTAATGTGAGCCCTTTATTCTCTAAAGGGATAATGACACAAACAATCCCTGAATTTTGGCCCAATGTGCAATCTAGTTCCTGAACTTTTAATTTGTTCATTGTAGTCCCTGAACTTTAGCCTAATGTTTAATGTGGTCCATGAACTTTTAATTTGTTCAATGTGGTCCCTGGACTTTTGGTACATGTTCAATTTAGTCCCTGAACTATATGAAACTATTCAATGTAGTCCTTTCATTAATTCAAGTTCAGGGACTACATTGAACATTTTCATATATTTCAGGGACTAAATTGAATATGTACAAAAAGTATAGGGATCATATTGAACAAATAAAAGTTCAGGGACCACATTGAACATTAGACTAAAAGTTCAGGGGTCAGATTGCACATTTGGTCAAAGTTTAGGGATTGTTTGTGTCATTTCCCCTTCTCTAAAAACCCTCCAAAGAACTTCTATTATATACTTTTTCCAGATCTATGAAATGATGTGAAATTAGTGACCCAGGTTCGTATTTTCCAGATCTCTGTAATGTCTTCATTTCATTCGATCAACAACTTTTATCTTGATGTTATGCTTATATGATAATTGACAATTATGGTAATATCCTATTTACAATTTATATGCTGTTCAAGTTGATTATATTATTAGACTCGTATGTATCTTGTAATGATTCTTGTATAGGGTCAGCACCCATTTGGTGCCACTTCAACCAATTTTTTTATTTGCCAATGATAATAAAAATGATTTCACTCATCATAAACATGATAGGAGCACAAAGTTAGGTTGATTGGAACCTGATGAACTTAAATTGGTTCCCTTTTTTACAATTCAATTGAGACAAAATAGTTGTCATCAAATTGCTCAAATGATTTCCAAGAAACAATGTGAAACAGGAACCAGATACAACAACCACCCTGACTAGAATACGATGGGCGTACTCTTTTTCCTTGATGCCCATTTTGTGAATGAATTGGTATAGTTAAGTCAAGTTATATCTTAAGACAAATTTAGATGAACGGCTTCAAATAGTGGAAAACAACAGAGTCATTACAATGTTGATGAAATGCTGAAGAATGGTGAAGAAGATTTCTTGAATGAAACTTGCATTTTTTTGTGATCAGATGCCAGACTCTAAAGATAATGTCAACATTAATTTTTCGGCAAATATGTTGATAATTTGGTAGTAGTCATGAAACTTTGTACATAGTGGAAAACAACAGTCGTTACAATGTTGATGAAATGAAGAAGAATGGTGAAGAAGATTTCTTGAATGGAACTTGCACTTTTTTGTGATCAGATGCCATACTCTACCAATACTGTCAACATTAATTTTTCAGCAAATCTGTTGATAATTTTGTAGTAGTCATGAAACTTTGTACATAAGCTTCTGATGTCATATACTTCATGCTGCCATACTGCAGTTTGGAACCAAAAGTCATGCAGAGTGCGCTAGGTTCTCTCCAGATGGACAGTTTCTTGTTTCTTGCTCTGTTGATGGATTCATCGAGGTAAGTGAGTTCAGAAAATCTAGTTACATATGTCGTTAACAAAAAAAAGATATATGATTTCATTTGTTGTTGCGGCTAGGTCTGGGATTACATGAGTGGGAAGCTCAAAAAGGATCTTCAGTATCAGGCTGATGTAAGTGCTTACTTTCTGTAACTTTTGTTGGAGATTGATGCTTTTGTTGTCCTTACGGTAGAAACAGAATTGGGAATGGTTTTACTTCCCTTCGGAAAGGCATCGTGTGATTAGGCTTGACAATGCTTTCTTCTATCTTATTTATACGCCAGGCTAAATTATTTTTTGATGCCGATGATATCTGGCTTCTATGTACAAAATACTCTGGTTTAAGTCCTTTTCCTTTTGTAAGGGCGATGCTAGTTTAGTACTGGTTATGTCTGAATGACAACAGACCACTTTACAAACTATGGTCAGTTAAACAATAGACTTTTTGCTAAGGTGGTAGGTCAACACTATTAACTTCAATGCAGTGGTGCAATAAGGATATTTAGGAAAATTTTCTTGTATTGTAAAAAATGGTCTTTTTTAATAATCTTAACATGTAGTTCATAGGAGGCCGAAGAACAATTGGTCATGCCATCTGACTATGAAAGAGTCTTAGATTTGCCAGGGGTAATTTCTTCTTATGCATTGGCAATATGTGGCTTAACATTGTTGTGACTTTTCTTATGGCCTCTATTCAAGCAAGAGCCATAGTTCTTAAATTCATGCCAACAATGCGCCAAAAGATTACTCCTAAATTTATTTAGATAGAGTTTAAAAGTATCATTGTCTCTTGCATCAAGAAGCCACTCCTCCAAATATACTCTTGTATTGTTTTTTGTGCTTAATGTTCTTGTCCAATGCACTTTGAATGAGTGAAAGCAAAAGCCTTCGAAGGAGAAGGAATTAAAAGCTCCTCAAACTAGGTTCTAGCCTTTAGCCTTATGAAATAGGGTAACAACTTTTGGAAATGAAAACATCTTTTTGTTTTCTGCAGGAGACCTTTATGATGCATGATGATCCTGTCCTTTGTGTTGATTTTAGTAGAGACTCAGAGATGCTTGCTTCTGGGTCACAAGATGGCAAGATCAAAGTGAGTTAAATTTCAACTGCTTGTGAGAATATACTATTTTTTGTGATTATACTTATCATGCAATATTAAGAGGCGTTGTCTCTATAACTCATTCTAATGGGTATATCACCCTAGGGGCGATTCCAAACATAACACTACAATTTTGCATTTAACAAAAATAAGTCTCCCATTGGGACGATGGAGGGAGGTGAACTCAATATGAACTTTTTGTCCCTCTCCCCAGTCTTATGAAGTTCTCTGTAGTGATCGATTAGATGTGTGAAACGCTACTTTTTGCTCTTCAAGTGATGTTCAGATTTTACGACTTTTTAGTAGTTCCATGTGCATTTCTAGATGAATCTTCTGGGGAATGGTGACTATTTCAAAGAATGTGGTCATACACTCTTCGCTTTTGGTACAGTGGGAAGATAAATTTCATTGTTACAGCTCGTTGGAATCGATTGTAAGAGTCAATTTATTGTTTTTGTATTTGGGTGGCTTCCCCCCGTAAGTCATTTTGTGTAAGAGTGATAACCCCTTGGTACTTTTGCTATAGAAATTTTGTTTATACTTTAAAAGAAGCTTCAAACAGGGAAAGGAAAGAGTTACGTGTGATGAAGGGGTGAGAGTAGTTAGTAGAATAAAATTAAACAATTGAAATTATGGAAGTGGCATTACCTTTAAAGCATAGAACATCAAAGGCAGATGAATATTAAGGCGTATTGCCTCCAATACATAAACTTCAGATATCTTCTTCTCCTTTTGGCCTGTCAAGAAAAAGTATTAAACAGAAAGTTTCTTTTTCAAGAAAAGCAGATGTCTACCATTGAGGGTAATTAATATGCGGAAAATGACTTATATAAACGAAAAATCGAGGTTTTGTAAGTGCTGGGGGGAATACTGTCTAGTTTGTTTTTTTTTTTTGGTAAGGAAGTACTGTCTGGTTTGTTTGTCTTCAAAATGTCATAAAATACACGATTTCTGATATCTTGTCAAAAGTTATTTCCAAAAGCTTCATACCATAAGTTTGAAAGATCCAAATGCAGATGCATCTACTGTTTTTTCACTTCAAGTTGATAGAGACAGCAATAGATCTCGCATGGAAGATTTTGCCTGTTCCTCTAATTAAACTTTTGCATCTTATCATTTTACTGAATGTAATCTTAAAGAGAGGAGGCAGCAAGAAAAGTTACTGTCTTCGAATTCTGCATCTTTCTGTTTCGACTGATATAGAGACTGTATCAGATTTTGTGTGTAGGAATAGATCTGTTTTCCCATTCTCTTTTCTCATCGTATTACGTAACTGTATGTAATCTTAAAGGGAGGAGGCAACGTTAATTGGTACTTCTTGTAACATGAAGTTTTCTGTGTTGCCATGTTGCATAGGCAGGTAGTCATTGATTTTTCAAGCTTCTTGTTTACTAGTCGTTGGACACCACGTCTTAGATTTATATTGCTGATGAAAAAATCAGCAGTATTAAAATCGGCTCCATGAGTGGGCTGTGTCTGCATCTTCTAGCCCTTCAATAATGTCCATGATTACATCATTGTTTGTGATGCAATAAGATTAATACCTTCCTCTTTGGTATTGTGTTGGTTAATAGTTGCTGCTATTTCAGGTTTGGCGAATAAGAACAGGTCAATGCTTGCGTCGTCTTGAACGTGCACATTCTCAGGGCGTCACAAGTCTCCTCTTTTCCCGTGATGGCAGCCAGTTACTCAGTACCTCCTTTGATGGCACAGCCAGGTAGTCACTGATTTGTGGAGCTTCTTGTTTACAAGTTGTTCGAACATGAAACTTTGTACCTCATATTATCTGTTTGATATGCTTTTGTCATCTTATTTTGAGTACTTTATTCATTCTAGCCTATCATTGTGTTGAAGGCCTGGATTGGATGATTTTGCTTAGAATGTGGAACCACATAGAGCAAATTAATATAGAATTATTCATGCATACTTGTGTTAGGCCGTGGATTAAAGATGTTTGCTGACTTGCGAACATGCAACTTTTCATTCAACTGCCATAATTCTTTGAGAACTTGGATGTCTGTTGCTTTTGTCATATGATTACGAACTTCATACAAGTTCTGGTGATGCAGAATCCATGGCCTTAAATCTGGGAAACAGCTGAAAGAGTTTCGAGGCCACTCATCTTATGTCAATGATGCAATATTCAGCAATGATGGCAGTCGTGTTATTACTGCCTCGAGTGATTGTACTGTGAAGGTAGTACTCTCAAGATTTAATTTGGTTCCTTTCTTCTTAGTAAGCCGCTGATCCTATCTGAGCTTTATAGGTCTGGGATGTTAAGACTTCAGACTGTCTTCACACATTCAAGCCTCCGCCTCCATTGAGGGTAATCACTCCGGAAATGCGTATTTTTGTTTTCTTATGCAATGTCTATCTTTTACCTAATATTGGTTTGCTCCTGGCTGACTTTCAGGGAGGTGATGCTTCTGTTAACTCTGTTCATCTCTTCCCAAAGAATGTTGATCACATCGTTGTTTGCAATAAAACATCATCAATTTATATCATGACTCTTCAGGGACAGGTACTGGAATCGTATAAAGATCTTTTGACCGTTGCAATTATTTTGAAGTCCATATCAGTAGCCATTCACTCAGTTGCAAAACTACTATTGTTGCATGAGATTGCTCCATCATTTCATTATCATTACATCCTTTTTTCTTCTTCAGTTCCTTTTAATTTGATCTAACCTAGTTCTCGAGCATGCTAGCAAATGTAAACTACTTCAGAACAAAACTTTATGCACTTGATGAGTTGAAGACATGCATTCACTGAAATATACTTAATTTCTATTTCTAGGATAGTGTAACTTATAATGGTTAGAGATAGGACAATTAGTGTTAGGTTTTTCCAATAGTAAATAGTTAAGAATCACTCGAAGGGCTTTTACATGGTTGTCGTCACACATGCACTATTAGAGATGCTGTTGTAATTTAGGATATCTAGTTTTATTTAGGATATTAGAATTTGGTTATTACAAGGATGTGAAGCTCGGTGAGTTCTTCCATAGAAATATTAATGATCACCCTTCCTGCATAGATGGTAGTAATTGATCTTTATATGGTCAGATTATTTAAGCTTTTCACTGGTCTCTTTGATGATCGTCCTAGCATTAGATCTGCATTGTATGATGCTTGATATGATGTGATCTGAAGTTGACTTGATGCCTCATGTCAGCTGTGCCCCTGTATCCATGTTTTGCTTCTTGTTTTGCTGTTTACTTCTGTATTTGGAGTAAAATGAGATTGTACCATGGTATATCTTAAATTTGGCTCCCCACCTGCCGCACCTTAACAGGCTGAACCACCAGTTAAGCTAAAGGATATAGTAGATCTAGATGGAAGCATCAATGCTTATGGGTAGAGAAGAATTGCATCTTTTTTTGTTTGTTGTTTTTGTCTTTCCCTCACTATTTGTTCTGATATCACTTTCGGGTTTTGATATTGGCATGGTATTTCTTGTTTGCATTGTTCCTTTGCCCTTTTTTGCGAGATCTTTTAGTTGGTCATAAATGGGAAGGCACACAAGTTAGACTTTCAACCAAAAAAAATAAAAACAAGTTGGACAAAGTAATCTAGTCTTTTCTGTTTTTACATCAGCAGACAAAGTTATTCTTTTGGGACTACTCTACAGGTGGTGAAGAGTCTTTCGTCTGGTAAAAGAGAGGGTGGAGATTTTGTGGCAGCCTGCGTATCACCAAAAGGCGAATGGATTTACTGTGTCGGTGAAGACAGGTGGAGTCTTGATTGCTGCTTCCTTTTGATTTTTCTTTTCTGTATTCTGTGTTGGAACATCATAATAAGCAATCCAGTCAACTATTGTGCATTGTTTGGTGACTCGGGCAAGCACATAAGCGAACTTTTTCAATATTATTGAAATGAACATTAAGAGTCATTTTCACACTTAGTTATAGTTCTTTGCTTGTTTATCACCTAATTTGCTTTATTGATGACTGCTAGTCTAGCTTGTGAAGTCCTTCCTGATAGCTAAATACTGGTATCAGCTCTATTTTAAGGCAGAAGGGAAGGGCTACCCCATCCTGTACGCCAGCCACTAGAACAACTCAAAAAATGGAATAAGAAAACAAACATAAAAGAGAACACAAAATATGGAAACTACAGGATACAAGTGAGTGCCGAATTTTCTTTAGGAGTGTTGTTTCCCTTGGATTGCCGATACCAGACTTCTGCTTTGGAGCAGTTAAAAGTGTATATTATGAGATATTGATCTTAGATTTGCTACTGACAATTTGTAATTCTTTTGTAGTCTGGACCTGTGTAAGCTAATTAGAGTATAATGCTTGAAACTTGTGGGTTTCACATAGTGTCACTCTACTTGTGCCGACTAGTACAAATAGACCCATTCTATGAAACTATCACAGACATATTACCAGATACTCAGCAGGTTGTCTTCCAATAACATTGAGAGAGGGTGTTAAAGTATCCCTCCCTCTATCAACTTAAGCTTCTGGTTGGTGTTCTAACAGCGTGGATATTAATTTAGGGGTAAATAATAGTCAGTATCTCATATTTAAAGAGAATACTGTTGACTAGTGGCCGATCATAAGATGGTCCATTGACTAGCTTGAATTAAGAAATGTTCTCTTCATTAATTGATCATGGAAAGGGTGGAGCAGTTGTATCATTTAGTTATCATCAATAATGTGATTAGACTGACTGGATTCCAGGTCATTGTTATGGTTACTCATAGCAGGGCGGTCAATGAGTTTCATCCCTCAAACTTGTCATCGGTCATTTCTTTGTTCTTTTTCATCATTTATGAGTTTTTATGGAACTGCACTTATAGTGGACAATTTGCAGGAATTTGTACTGTTTCAGCCACCATTCTGGAAAATTAGAGCATCTTATGAAGGTAATATCATTGTTAGCTTGCCACAAGTCATCATGGAATTTTGGAATCACTCTTGAACTTTTAACTGCAAAGTTATGCATTGTGGTGCTTGCTTTATGTTACGAGTTGGAAACTGTGGCACTTGCCTCAGCTAGTCACAATTAGCATAATAGTTTCCTTCCCCAATGTGGCGCTTCGAACCTTATAAAATCTGATGCAATATTCAGACTGCATCTCTATCACAAATTCACGGTTTTTATTTGGAGTGGTACTATATTCTGTGATCCTTGGTACTGCCAAGACCGTTATGGCTATGAAGTAGTACATTATGCAATAGCTATCACATACCCATTAGAGCTGACATATGGCGGAGATTCCTTATATGCCCTTCTCTCTTTCCTCCTTTTTTAAATGGTGGTGGGATAATTTACTGTTACTTCGTCTAGGCTGTAGTTTGCTATAGGCTGGTAAATTTGAGTGATAATATTACTATTCGCTCTATAGATTCAAAGATGTGCACAGGGCACGATCAGAATTTGAAATTCTGGATGGACTGTTAATTTGTTTTCAAAATGTAGACTAATTGTTGTTGGATTGCAACTTCTCCATGGTGATTCACTTCCTACCAGAAAAAAAATAGCAGACATTGTGTGAGACTCATTTTCCTTGTTATTGGCAGGTTCATGAGAAGGATGTAATCGGGGTAACACACCATCCGCATCGTAATCTTGTTGCAACATACAGCGAGGACAGCACGATGAAGCTATGGAAGCCTTGACATATTATTTCTCATGTTGCGACTTCGCAATTGTAGACTGTTGTAGATGTAATTGTTATTTCATTTATTGACAGGTGAAAAGATTAGGAGTGTATTTAGTTAAAGAACAATTATAATCTCCTTACTGACCAACATTTTGTTGACATGCTTTTCAATAGAACCCCGAAATGCATTGGGTTAACTTTTTCCAAACCTGCTGTATAACGTGCATATATAGTTCAACTTCGATAGGAAAATGAAGCGAAGAAGTTGTTTTGCAGCAACAATTTGGTTCTACAATGACAGCATGATGTGCTAGCTCTGTGTTGCCAGGACTAATTTGAGAATCGAGCCATTGTTCGGGGGGTGCGAGATGGGTACCGAGACGGAGTCGACTAGAGTGAAATATTAAGATCATGGCATAGCACATTTTTAATTTGAGGTTGACATCTCGTGAGCGACCAATAGTATTAGATGATTCTTCAGAGGTATACTTCATCCAATAAAGTTGAATGCCCAGTTCTATGATAGCTTGTGTTTGGCTAGAACAGCAAACATGGTCAACAATGAGAAAAAAGGATAACCTGAAGAAGGACAAGCGACAAGCAACACAAACGATCACTTCGGCTCGAACCTACAGTTCACTTTAACGATGCTAACGGAGAAACAGAAGATGGATGTCGATCAAAGTTTCTGCTTGATCAGAATCGAAATCAAGGAAATGCATGAATTGGGGAAGCAAAAGGCGATACTTTTTTTATGGTCTTCGAAGCACGATATTGAAACAACATGTTAGCTGAAGGATGCTTTACATAGAAAAATGTTGCATGTGGTGCTTCCAAGTAGCAACTCATGTTTCCCCATGAATTTTCCAAATTTTCTCTTGAAAAAATTCTAACTTCACCCTTCATTTACCACTTAAATTTATTAATTAATATTATTTTAACACATCTAATGTTATCAAGGTCATAGTGTGATCCACACTATGGGAAAAGAAAAAAAAAGTTAAAAAAAAAATAATGGGTCCGTGCGAAGACCGTGCTAATATTACTTCTACAGTCTGATCATATACACTAGTTGTTAGCAAGATCCATTAGTAAATAAAGTTTTAATGATAATATTATGGTAAAAAAATATATCAAAGATAAATCCTCAAGAATGTTCTTCTTACGTAAGTAGAATTAGGAAAAAAAAAAGGGATAAGCGCATTAAAAGTTCTAAAACTTATCACAAAATACAATTAAGTTGTAAAACCTTTTAAAAAGTGTAATTAAATTCTAAAACATGTCAAATTTATGCAATAATATTATTCAGTTAACTTCGTCCAACTTGGCTAATAAAAATTGCTGACATGCAAATTTTTTTTTCCTCTATCCTACTTGGAGATGACACGGCTAAAACATGAAACATAAGACTAAAATGACATCGTTTTGGTACAAATCTAATTTTGCTAATATAAAATATAAATACTAAAGTAAAACCCTATATTTCTTAAAGGACGTTCTTGCTTTTTTTATTATCGATCCTATCTCTAACTCTTCTCGCTCTCTAACTTTTATTCCGCCTCTTATAAAGCACGGAATTAAAATCATATACATGTGATAGTAGCGTCCGTGATAGTAGCGTCCCGGGCCCACGATCCCTTTACCGCATGGCAAGAACGGTTCTTGTTAAATAGAGGTAAAAGTGAAGAACCTGTGTGCAAAGCAGAGACAATATAACCCTGAGGGACGTTTGCTGAGTACTCGAACCCCCGGTATCAGCGGGAGAGAGATACAGGGAGAGAGAGGCAGAGCCAGAAGCAGAGAGAGAGAGAGGGAGAGATGGAAGACGCCAAACGCGATCTCGTCAAGCAGGTCAGGCCTCGTCTTCATCTTCCATATCTTTCTTGAAAAAACTGTAGCTTTCTCACCGCACCATCATCACGAAAGCTATTGATGTCGGGTGGTTCTTTCAGTTGAGGAGCCACGAAGTCGCCATAGCTGAACTGGGTAGCCTTCAGCCTTCTCGGGTACCCTTCAAGACCCGGATTCCAAGAATCTCTTCCCCCCTTCTCTCTCTCGAGTTGTTCGATCGTTTAAAGCTGCGATTTTGATTCTGATCCGTGCACGGATGAGATGGTTTTCATAGGTTGTCGTGCTTCTTGCGGAAGCCCTGGTCGTGATACTGGGTTTTGATTTAAGTGGGTCTGTGCTGATTCAAGCCAAATTGCGTCCCAATGAGTGCATATGTGTTTGGATGCTGTTTCCTCTAGAAAAAAGTTATTCAGAGAGACTAAAGAAAGCTTCTTGCTGCAGTAGGAATGAATTCTTGGTAAAACAGATGCCATTGTGTGAATTTCTTCTATGTTATTTCATGATAGGTACCCAAACATTTATGGTGAATCTCGATAGGAACTTCTCTTGAAGCAATAATGCAATAACGCGATGATCTAGTTGTCATCGAAGCCACAAAGGACTGTCTAAATTGATTTTTTTTTTTTTCTGTTGATGAGCTCCAACTTTTTCTTTTCTATACTTATAGTTATGATCATAAGTTCTTTCATTTTGATAGTTTTTGCGATTCCATGGATTATACCCATTTGTGATTGATTATGATTACGTAAGGGCCGGGATAGATCGAATGCTGTCGTTTTAAGTGATGTTGCCTTTTCTTAAATTAGTTTGGGACATGCCGAATAGATGAGTGTTTTTTCTCTTGATATGTAGTTTCATATTAAATTCACAAGAGAGAAACACTTTCTATTCCTTCTTTTTGTTATTGGAGAGGTTCATTTATGTCTGTTTTCTTGGTCAGTCTGTTTATCAGAAAAACGGGAACATATACTTCAGAACGACCATCCAGAACGCGAAAGCATCTGAGCAAAGTATGTGTGATCTATCCTACCGATCGAGTGAAAGACTTTTCATTCCATGATCATAGTTTATGTGACCGATGCTAATACTGACTAATTGGCAGAAAAAGTCGATTCGGCCAAAGCGAAGCTGGAGAGGCTGAATGTAGCATAAAATCGGCACGACGACCCGGGGAATGGCTGACTCTAATGCTTCTCCTGTTCTTCAATCTTTAGCTACAAGGTGCTCGAGATTATTGTTAGACTCTGAACAAAAGTTTGCTTAAGAAGCGCCTGTTGAGCTGTAGTTTTTGCGGTGTTTTGCTCTGAATCCCATTTGAATTCCTCTCAGATGGGCCAGCTAATGGTTAAAGAGGAGCCTCCCGGCTATTGTAATAAGCATAGCGGTGCTAGGAGTTTGATTGGTATCTGAAATGATTTTGATACTAATCTTGTCAATATTCAGTCACCGTTGCCATTTTCGTTGTCTCGTGTGTCTGCTTCCCGTGCACATTCAGATCGCAGTTTTCTGCTTTTTTAAAGTTGTCAAATGAGGAAAGCTAGAATGAGAATTCTGTTATTCAACTTTGGCTACTGATTGTAAGTTTCAAGTTCAAGAGCAGCAGTACTTGGTCTCCTGCAATACCTTCATGTATAGAATCTGATTGAAATTCAGTTAAATCTGCGGCAGACTTACAGGTTGCAAGTGATGCACACCGAGCTAATCTATGCAACCAATGGATTAACCTATTGAATGAGTGACTTTTCCTTCTTCCCCTCACGCCATTACCAAAACATAAGGATATTAAGAGATAAAACAAGGCAGCACAACAGTGAGCGATGCTTGATCTCTTGCAATCAGCCGTGGTATAGCTGAGTAAGGTTTGTTCGGAAACTTTCTGCAGTTCTCTTCTTAAAACAAAACGAACTGAATACTACCAAATCGATTTAAGAAGAAATTCCAAGCAAAACCAAATTCACTTTCTTAACTTCATATTTACAAGAAAGTGAATATGATGAGATGTTGCTAAGCAACCTAGCTCATCTTTAAATGTTGTTCTCCAGGACTAATTGAAATCGAGAAAAGAAAGCGTACCCAACTCCACCTAAAAACATCCGCACAACCTGCAATTCCTCCATAATCATCATAAGATACAAGTCATCTATACGATGTTGGCTTTGATTAGGCTCCCACAGCTGAGCACAGCACAGGTAGCAGCTGAGTCAGTGCAGCCGGTGACTATATCCTGCTGCTATTATCGGCGACAAGACCCTTCAACCATTCAAATCTTTTCACGGATATTCAATTGAGGCAAGATAAAATCGTAATTTCGGCTGTTAAGTATAACATTTGTTTCGCAAGCAACATGTAAATGACTACAATATTATGCAGCATATTGTAGATGTAGATAATCCAATACCAACATATTGAACTATTTTGAATGTTAAACCTCCCGGATTGAATTCTGGAACAGCACAACTGCCATAGTCACAAGCGATGCATAAACTGAATTTGGTAACTTTCGTACCACTCTACCAACTCCTGGGACACCCTCAGCAGTTCTCTTTGTCGCCATTGCAACGGTAGGTACCATGACCAATGTGGCAATCAACCTCTGACTGACAACTATAATTGTGTCCGATGTTAGCCGCTGCATGAACCTCACAAATTCTTCACGATCAATTTCTCCATCCAGGTTGACATCGCAGTCCTGTATTCAAAGGCAACGATATGACTTTCAAGCACAAGCACCGTAGATGTATGCTTCGGCTAATTTGTACAAATATTCATTGCACAATCTTCTCTTCTCCTCCTGAACCCATCAATCAAACAGCAAAATGAAGGCTACAACCATCTTAACAATGAGGATCCTCTCAAGAGTTTCAAATGAAACGCTTTTGAGACTACCTGGGAGAGAAATACATTCTAATTTGAGTTTCTTCGGGCCTCTTGAGTTCAACTAAGGAGTGGTATTAAACATCTAGAGTTCAACTGAATGGCATGCCAAAACTTCACGGTCCACACCAATAAATAGAGATATGAAGTGGTAATAGAACACTTCTTCAAAGGAATCCATACTCTAAAGTCCAAAACCACGACGCCGTAAGTACTGAGTAAGGAAGCTTGCATTGCAAAGAAAAAGAAGACAAGAATGTAAGAGGAATAAACTTCATTAAACAGCGTAATGAACTTTCGGCACACCGTTGAGGACACAAGAAAAGTACCTTTATCATATTTCGGACTTGGTCTTTTGAGGGTGGATCAAAATATGGACCAGGCAGATGCTTATTTATATCACTACAAGAGAGAGAAACATTTGATCTACTTGCTGGGTAAATAAGTGTAAAGAGGTGTTCACCAGAGATTCTTACTTGTACACAAGCAAAATGGCAATATATAGATCTTCAAACGTCAGGTTAGCTCTTTCAACGTTGTTTGTTACACGATAAAAAATCTTGTCGGTAATTTTCCTGATTTGCTTTTGCCTCCATTCCTTCCCTGAATAATATGCTGAAACTGTCAAATGCATGTAAAGAGTCTACTGACAATAGCATGCGTTTATCAACTAATGTGCCTTGTCTTGGGTACTATATTGCAAAATTGAAGCATGGCAGGAAAATGTGTGAAGCCCCATAAACACACAAACCTAGAAGCACCAAAATTGAAATTTTGAGCATACACCTGATATGACAAGCAATGGCAAGGATGCATTCAGATCCCCTACAGCAACAATTACCTTATTGTAATAGAAAATGAGAAATTTCATTAGAACTTAAGCAACATCATGTACAAGATGCATAGCAGAATGTGTTGCATCAACAGCAACCAGGATGCTGCTAGACAAAAGCTCAACAGTTATTTAGTTTACTAGACATGAATTCTGTCACTGTGAGATATGAACTGAACTCTTATGAGTCTAAAGGACCCGTGAGTCAATGGCAGATACTTCCAGGAAGCATGGATAGGACAGGAACCTCTAGTTATTAAATAGGTTTTGATTTGAAGAGATTCATACTGCAGATAAAAAGGTGGTGATTGGATCCTTGTTTGTGACACATTGAGTCGATTCTTATCTAAAAAACCTTGGACGGTTCATATAGCAGTGGCCGTCACCTGCGGTAGTCGCTGACATTGGTTTTAACCAGCATCATTAACTTACTCAACTACAGCAGCGTCAACAACACCGCCAACCGATGCAACTAAAATAATATGAGCTATGTGAGGTACTAAAACATTCAACCAACATTTGTATCTAACTATAAGTGACGTGTCAAGCTCTATCGTCAATTGAACTTTTCCTCAGTCATCTTGACTATGCGAATTTTATAAGCTAAGAAATATCAAGTATACAAGCTAGTCCATGTAAAATATCTTGTAGCTTCAGAGAGATAAAAGCTTTTCGAAAGATTAGCTGCTTCATCTCAACAACATGAAACACTTACAAGGAAGATGGTCATCAATTCTAACTCCACCAGACTTAAAATTTATATGTTCTTTGTCGATACCAGCGTTGTGCACCGATCTGAATGAGGCCAATAACACACTTTGCCACAAATCAAGCATACTCAGTTTCGTTTTCCCTTCCACAGAACGAAAGCAAATCCTCCTGGCCACAAAGGACTGTTTTTGAAGCCTTCCTTTCAGCATGACACACTGTGGGTGACTCCCACGCTCGCATGCATATATATACCACGAAAAGAGCAAAGACAGGAGGTGAGTGAACCACTACTGTCCCAGTCCATACCGTTAACCCGCAACACCAAACGCGGCAACAGCGACAGCAACAGAACACAGTCAGAGTCGACTCGTATCGATTCGGCATTGAAATGAACCGCCACGGACCGAAACAGTCTCACAGACACCCGGATCATCCTGTTTACAGACGGTTTGATTGCTGGAAATGACCGAGAGACTAGAATGGCGGGTCGGTACCTTGAAGTTTGCCGAAGATCTGTCCCATGGCATCGCCGGAGGAGACGCTGCACTTGAAGTTGACTCTTCTCTCTTTCTCTCGCTCGATCTGATAACTGTTTCCTGGTTCAAGAAGGAAAGCGGGAAGTCAATATAAAGAGTCCTGGGGAGGGAAAGAGATTCTGTTGTGTTCCTCCTATGCCAAGGAAACAAGCTGGCCTCACTACATGTTGGGCAGGACATGCTGACCTGGACTTCCGCTATTGGTAGACCGAATAAATAAATGATTCAAAACATATTTTTTTATAAAACCAACCACTTATACTACTTGAAATAATTAGTGAATAAAAAATATTTTATTCGCAAAATAGGTAAAGTCTTTAGTGTCTGGATCCGAAAGCAAATGGATCCCACTTATCTTTGTGTCGATCTGTCCTTTTTTTAATTTTTGTCGGAGATCTATCCTTATCGAGCATAGCTTCTTCAATTTTCCAAAAAGAAATTTTTATCTTGTGTTTAAATTAACTAGCACGGTCAACGAGGAAGGGAATCTAGTCTAGTCCCTCTTTTTATGCATTGACCCCCCTTCACACGCATCATCAACATGGATTCACGCTTATTGGTTGAGCAAGAAAAGAGAAAAGGAAACGGATGTTGCCATACTATACATTTAGTTAATTTTGTTTCTGCACATGTTGTACATTTAATGAAACATGTGTTTCTAATATCAAGAAATCAAACCTTGTTTTTACATTTTCTTAACGTAAGAAATACTAACATGTCCTAATCTACCATGCCATAAGTCAATAGATCCAATTAAGTAAGCAGAAGTAGTATTTTCGTTGATAACATTTGATACGTTAACAACGAAAAGTACCTGATTATAGTAACCGTTTCCAACAAAGAATTATTTTTTATCATTACAATATTGTCAAATTCGATTGACACGTTCACCCCAAACTTTCCTAAAAGAGATACAGAGACCAAGTTTGCCCTTATATTTGTACATCATTCATAGCTAGAGTTTTGCTAGATTTGAGTTTGAGAAGAACTTTCTCTTTCCCAAGAACTTGAGCGGTTCTCGAATCACCAATATAAATAATCTCCTCTCCTTCCACTACAGGAGTTTAGGAGGAAAATGCATTTTTGTTCACACAAATATGCCTGGTAGGACCTTGAGAAATGACCACGATATTGGCTTGAGAAATGACCTCAATGATGTCATTAGAGTCATCTGACTTTTGGTTTAGCAGGATTGTTATTTCTCATTATTCTCTTTCTGCATTGTGCTGCTTGATGACCTGGTTTACCACAAACAAGCAAGAACCTTTCTTTTTGAAGGTGGGGTGAGCAACTTTGAGTTTGTAATCAGGTTTTTTGTTATTATACCTATTTTGGTAATTTGGAGCTTTGCCTTTTTGCCCCGGTAGCAATCTTCTTAGCTTTGGCAGCCTCGATCTCCTTGCGGATTGTGTCCTCAATGATGATATGCACAACCAGATTAGCTAGTGACAATTGCTTGTCTTTGTGCTTGAGTTGTTGCTTGTAGTCATTCCAAGATCCCGGCAACTTTTCAATCAACAATTCCGCAATAAATTCTTCTTGTAAATTGATGTTTTCTGCCTTCAAATCCTCCACTAACTTGTAATATTCATTGATCTGTGTCTTGATCTCCCTATCATCTGACATTCCCCGCCGATGATAATTTTCGATCACGAATTTCTGTTTGCCCACATCTTCGGCAGTGTACTTCGTAGACATGGAGTCCCATATTTGTTTTGCTTCTTTGTATGGATAGTAGATATCAAACAATTCATTCGAAAGCGTATTGATAATTGTGTGCCTACATACCTTATTAGCATGTATCCATTGTTCTCGCAACTTATTGTCAGTTGATATGGTCTCCGTAAGTGCAAAAGCTACTCCATGCACATCCAAGATAGAGAAAACTCTTTCTTGCCACCTTTTGAAGTTATTGCCATTAAAAACTTCAATCTTTGATATGTCAGGAAATGGTAGTGGTGGTAGCACAACGGGAGCGGCGGAGATGGAGCCATCAATAGTGGCGGTGGCGGCAACGGTTTCAATTTGGGAACCCATAAGACATATCCTTAAGAATGTTGTAAGACCTGTTTGAAAGTACGAGAAAAATAAGAACAAAGAACAAAAGTCTGAGGCACACTGCCCTTAAGAATAATTCCGTCCTTAAGAATACGAAACTCGGAAACTCGGCACGACAGTCTAAATAGAGGAAACGGGAATAACAATGTTATATGTAAATTGATTGCGATCAAAATTTCCATTAGAGCCGTTACAAAACAAAGGCTTTGAATATTACAAAACCGTTGAAATATCCAACAGTATATAAATCTTCTAATGTCAGGATAGCTCTTTCAACATTGTTTGTTACACAATCAAAAATCTTATCTGTAATTTTCCTGATTTGCTTTCACCTCCATTCCTTCCCTGAAGAATATGCTAAAACTGTCAAATGCATCTAAAAAGTCTACTAAAAATTGCATGCGTTTATCAATTAATGTGCCTTGTCTTGGGTATTGCAAACTTGAAGCCCGACAGGAAAATGTGTGTGAAGCACCATAAGCACACGAATCCAGATGCACCAAAAAATGCAATTTTAAGCATACATCAGATATGACAAGCAACGTCAACGATGTATTCAGATCCCTTGCAGCAACGTTTACTCTTTTGCAAAAGAAAATGGAAAATTTCATTAGAACTTAACCAACATCATATACAAGATCAACAACAGAATGTCCTGCCAAAACAGCAACCAGGGTGCTGTTAGAAAAAAACTCAACATTCTTTTAGTTTTCCTAGACATGTATTCCGTCCCTGTGAGATATGAACTGAACTCTTATGAGCCGAAAGGACCGGAGAGTCAATGGCAGAAACTTCCAGGAAGCACGGATAAGACAGTTACCTCCAGTTACTGAAATGGTTTTGACTCAGAGAGATTCATATTGCAGATAAAAGGTGACGATTTGATCCTTGTTTGGGACTCATTGAGTGGATTCTTATCTAAAATAGCTGGGACAGTTCATATAGCAACGGTTGTCACCTGCGGTAGTGGTTGACATTGGTTTTAACCAGCATCGTTCAACTTACGCAACCACAGCAGCATCAACATCACAGCCAACTGATGCCACTAAAACGATTTGAGCTTTGTGAGGTACTAAAACATTCGACCAATATTGGTATCTAATTATAATTGACATGACGAGCTCTATCGTCTATTGAACATACCCTCAGTCACCTTGACTATGCAAATTTTGCAAGCTAAGAATATGAAGCACTTTCAAAAGATCAGGAACTTCCTCTCGACAATATGAAGCACTTCCATTTATTAGCTTCCCTCTCCTTGATTAAGTAAAGGATCATTGGAGCATCTTCCAGGAAAGATGGTCCTCAATTCTGACTCCACTAAACATAGATCAATTCGTTCTTGTCAATACCAGCATCATACACCAATCTGAACGGGGCCCATCGCACACCATGCCACAATCAAGCATGCTCACTTACTTTTTCCCTTATATAGAACAAAAGCAAATCCTTCTGGCCACAAAGGACCCGTTAGAAGCCTTACTTTTTGACACGACACACTGTCAGCTGACAACCAAGCTCACATGGACAATGCACACATACCACGAACGGGGCAAAGACAGGAGGTTAGTGAACCATTACTTTCCCGGTCCGTACCACGACTCGCGACATCAAAACGCAACGACAGCAGCAGAACACAGTCAGGGTCAGACTCATATCTATTCGACATCAAAACGAATCTCCCTTGGAGCAAAAAAAACAGTCTCACAGATGCCCTGATCGACATGCTAAACACGGTCGATTACTTGGAAATGACGAATCGGAGACAGAGAGAGCGAAATGGCGGGTCGGTACCTCGAAGTTTGCCAAAGATCTGTCCCATGGCGTCATCGAACGAGATGCGAAACATGAAGTTGACTCTCCCTCTCTCTCTCTCTCTCAATCTGATAATTTGTTTTCTGGTTCAAAAGAAAGAAAGCGGGAAGTCAATATAAAGAGTCGTAAGCGGAGGGAACAAGCTGGCCTCGCCACCCATTGGGCGGCACGTGCCTACGTGGACTACTCCTATTGGTGGACCGGTCCCGGTCCCGATCGCAGTGAGTTTCAGTGGACTCCTAAGTACCTGGAACTGTCCTAAGAAGATCTGGACAGAGCAGATGGGTCCCACTTATCTTTGTTTCTCTTACATAAACTACTTCCGTCCTCGTTAATAATCCCTTCTTCAATTTTTCCAGAATTTTTTTAGATTTATTTTTGAATGTGCCTGTTTAGAGAAAAAATGAGTACTTTGAAAAATATTTTTCTTAAAAAATGATAACATGTGTCGCTTATAAGAACGAACGAATGGAAAATATTTTATTTGTCCACAGAAATGTTTAGACATAATTTTTTATCAATAATGAAAATATTTTTCGTCGACTAACTATTTCAAGGGATACAAGCTATCATTTTACAGAAAATATTTTCTAAATTATTTATTTTTGCACCAAACAAACAAACCCTAACTATACATGATGTATTGCTGTCCAGATAAGATGTATTTATTCAATCTCTCCTGTAATTAACAGCATACCATGCATGCTCCTCAGGAAGATCAGGGAATTTGTGGTTCATCCGCAGAAGGCTTCCGACAGCTGAACCTGCGACGATGCACGTCTTTTGCAGATGGGATTCATGGAAGAATTTCAAATGCTTAATTGTGGTAGCTCTCAAGAACTAGTGCATCTAAATTATTCCAAGAATATCCACACACAACAATTCGGAATCAGTTCAGCTTCGCTTTATCCAAGAGACTGCACTTCTCAATCAACAAATTTGAACAAAACACTAATTATTCTAATGAACCCTTGAATCAGTGTAACTAGGGTTTTGTTCAGAAGCTTTCTGCAGTTCTCTTCTTAAAAGAACTGAGTAACTGGTTTTCTCTTTCAAATCTAATGAGCCCTTGAATCCTGCGGCACACTGCGAACGGATGTAAAGAGACCAACATAATTATGCAAAAGCAGAGGAAGAAAGACTGAACCAAAACACTGAAAGTATTCTCAGCATATCCCATTTTTCACTTCTTATTTATGAGAAAGCGAATATGATAAGATGTTGGGAAGCAACCCTCAACAATAAAAAGAAATTCTCTAATTTTAATATGACTATCATGTCTGAAGCTTATCTTTAAATGTTCTTCTCCAAGACTAGAGAAAATAAAGAAAAATAAAACAGACCCAACTCCACCCATCTGTACTTCTTGCAATTCCTCCACAATCATCATATGCGACAAGTCATCTATACGATGTTGGCTTTGATTAGGCTCCCACAGCTCAGCAAAGCACAGTTACCTGCTGAGTCTGTGCAGCACGTGACCATATCCTACTGCCATTATCGGCGACAGGACCCATCAACCATTCGAATCTTTTCACAGATAATCAATCGAGGCAAAATAAATATCATAACTTTAGCAGTTAAGTATAACATTTGTTTCGCAAGTGACTGCACATAACTACAATATCATGCAGTATATTGTAGATGTAGATATCCAATACCAACATATTAAACTATTGTGGATGTTAAACCTCCTGCATTGACTTCTGGAACATCACAACTGCCATAGTCACAAGCGATGCATAAACTGAATTTGGTAACTTTTGCACCAGTTTACCAACTCCTGGGACACCCTCAGTAGTTCTCTTTGTTGCCATAGCAATAGTAGGTGCCACAACCAATGTGACAATCAGTCCCTGACTGACGACTATAAGTGTGTCAGATGTTAGCCGCTGGATGAACCCCACAAATTCTTCATGATTGATTTCTCCATCCAGGTTGAGATCGGATTCCTGTGCACGAGGCAACATATATGCTTTCATAAATTTCAAGCACAATCACCGTCAGACGTATGCATCAGTTAATTTGTACACATATCATTCCACAATCTTCTCTTCTCCTCCCGAACCAATGTATCACTGAGCATCCTTTCAACAATTCTAAATAAAACACATTTGAGACATCTTTGGAGAGAAATACAATCTAGTTTGAGTTCTTCAGAACTCTTGAGTTCAACTAAGGAGTAGTATCAGACATCTTGAGTTCAACTAACAATTGCTAATGTCCTATAATCATTGAAAAGCAACAAGCTCTATAGCTTATGCAATGTGATCATCCATATCTTCCATGTAAACATCAATTTATATGATTTATAAATCAGCCATCAATGTGATTGGAGGCCATATCTTTCAGGACCACTGCTTACTATAGTCATTTGCACAGCCTGACACACCTTTTTCTAGGAGGTTCAGAGTCAGTATATGAATGGCAAGTCAAAACTTCACGGACCACACCAACTAGTACCTAATAGACATATGAAGTGGCAGTACGACACTTCTTCAAAGAATTCCATACTCTAAGGTCCAATATCCCCAGTGGCAACCACCGTGGATGGAGGGCTTGCATTGCAAAGAAAAAGAAAAACAGCATGCAGAGGAATAAACTCCATTACATAGCGTAATGCACTTTACGCGTACCATTAAGGACCCAAGAGAAATACCTGTATCATTATCCGAACTTGGTCTTTCGAGGGCGGATCAAAATGTGGACCAGGCAGATGCTTATTTATATCACTACAATAGAGAAAACAGTTAACCTACTTGCCGGGTAAATAAAGTATAAAGATCTTCAAACGTCAGGTTAGCTCTCTCGACATTGTTCGTCACACGCTCGAAAACCTTATCGGTAATTTTCCTGATTTGCTTCCGCCTCCACTCCTTGCCTGAACAATACCTCGAAACTGTCAACTGCATCTGAAAAGTACACTAACAAGTGCTCTGTCTCGGGTGCTATACCGCGAAATCGGAGCGAAACAGGAAAATATTGTCTAAGATGCACCAAAAATGCAGTCTTTAAGCATACTTCCGATACGACAGAGCAATACCAAGGACGTATTCAGATCCCCCAACAGCAACGAATCACTTTCTTGGCGATAGAAAACGGAAAAATTCCCTTAGGACTTAACCAACATTATCATACAAAGACCAACACCAGGATGTCCCGCATCAACAGCAGCAACCGGGGCTGCTGCCAGACACAAAAAAAAAAAAAAAAACCCAACAGCTGTCTAGTCTACCCAGGCACGAATTCCGTCACCGCGAGACACGAACCGAAACTCTTACGAGCCCAAAGGACCCGAGGAGAGTCATCGGCAGCGTGTACGTAGAACAGTAAAACTCTAGGTAGTGGGGAAACAGGCTCTCATCCCGTTAAAAGGGGACGACCCGATTCTTTGTTCGCGACCCATCGAGCGGGATCTGTTTATCTGGAAAGAAGCTCTGGACGATTCTCGCGTGTGTAGTCGCACGACCCGCATCGATTCGACGCAAAGAGAGAGAGAGAATCGCCACGGAGCCGGAAAAGACAGCAGGTCGCTCGGAGACGACGCCGAGAGATGGACGGGAGAGAGAGAAATGGCCCAAAACGGGCAGGTTACCTTGGAATTTGTCGAAGATCTGTCCCATGGCGTCGGCGTCGTCGTCGCCGTCGAGGTACGAAGCTCGAAGTCGAATCTCTCTCTCGCTCGCTCGCTCGCTCCGTAAATGGAAAGCTGGTCGCCTACGCGCCGACGTGGACCGCTCCGATTGGTGGAGGGGTCCCGGTCGCAACGGGTCTCCCGATGGGCTCGTCGCACGGGGATCGCGTCCCCAGAATATCCTGAGGAGGAGGATCTCCCGGCGCCCACATCGGTCGACACCCGGAGACGGCGGGTGGGCCCCCACTTATCTTGTGGTTTGCGATGTTAGGCGAAGCCACGTGTGCGGTGAGGGATCGAGGGTTCGTAGGATTTCTCTCGATCTTGGTCCGTCCCTTCCCTATCCGAGTCGGGTCTGCTTCAGGGGATGCCGGGGGATGTTTTTACCTAAGCTCGGGGCCCAATGTGACAGGCATATGTATTCCCCTTGAGGTGTGGCGTTCCTTCACGTCTCCCTCTAGGTCTATGACCCACGCGAGGACTTTGAAAGCCAAGACTCGGAAATCTTCGGCCGGATGTTTGGATTTGATTGGGTACATCGCGGGAGGCCCGTGTCAAACGGGTGGGTCGGGTCGGGTCGGGTCGAAAATGGTCGAACGCGAATTGACCCATTTAACCCGTTCGGCCCATTAACATACGATACAAATTTAGCGGTCTGTACCCAACTTCCAATTCGTGGTAATTACTCTCCTTAAATTGTTATCTCTAAAGCATGGGCAACATCCTCCATGGAACGAATCCCCCAGTCAGTGAGAGAGCTCGGGCGCTCGGGCTGGGTTGTGAACTAGGACTTCGGGTAGCACAAGAGCAAACAACATGGACGACGTGCGGGAGGTGAGCGCCATGCCAACGAAGAAGACATCCGTGTGGATTGGTCAGGAGGTCGGGTTTTCGTTACGAATTTTTACATATTATTTCTCCTGGTACTTGCAAAATAGACTATGCCTGGAAAGATGCATAAGCACTAAAAGAAAGTAAGTACGGAAATGGACAAAATACCAACAAGAATGAAAAGACCTGAGATATTTGCCACCACACTACTAATTTGTTTCTACTCAGCCGCCTGAACAATATGATAGCGAGGACTCTTCTAACTCGAGCAGTCCAATTTCTAAAGTTGCTTAAATGAAAGTTTTTTGGCTATAAAAATCCATTTAAATAGGTAAAAAAGAACAATCATTCGGGTGATATAGGAGAGGCCAACCAACGCAAAACTTTTTGACGGATGATAAGCCCTGCATCATAAGGTTAAGGCACTAACTAGCCTCTGCAATTTACATACAAAGATGTGTCCCTATTATCCAATATACATTGACTGCAATACGGGTTGCTACAAGAGCAATATGATTTTCTAGGCTACTAAAGGCACATTGTATGGGCTAGTGTTCGATATATCGGTTGTAGTTAACACAATAAATTACGAGGACTCTCTCCGTAGAAATCACTGCGACTCCAGTTCACTCCTTACTCCTGTGTTATCAGAAAGTGGATTTTCCTCGGTAACTTCCTCCTCTACCGGCTCATCGTTTGCACCGGAAGAAGATGGAGGTGGGTTCTTATCTGATGAGCCTCCAGGCACAGCCACAGTTCCATCAGCAAGACACTCGTCAATTGCATCGGCAGAAGATGGAGGTGGGTTCTTATCTGATGAGCCTCCAGGCACAGCCACAGTTCCATCAGCAAACAACTTGTCATTTGCATCGCCAGAAGATGGAGGTGGGTTCCTTTCTGACGAGTCTTCAAGCACAGGCACAGCTCCATCAGCAACTGACTCATTGTTTGCATCGGCAGAAGATGGAGGTGGGTTTGACAAGTCTTCAGGCACAGGCACATTTCCATCAGCAGCCGACTCATCGTTTGCATCGGCAGAAGATGGAGGTGGGTTCATTTCTGATGAGTCTTCAGTCAAAGTTCCAACATCCTGAAAATGACCCAACCTTTCTGATGCACTTTCAGGAGCAGTCCCACCAGCATCAATTCCATCACCAAGTTTATCTTCATCAACTTCCATCTTCTCCAAAGACAAATCCTCGACCTTCCCTTCGCCGTCTACCTGGAAAGATGCATTTTCGGATTCTGGCGACGATGCAGCAACCTGTGACTGACCTCCAGTCTGTACATTTTCCAGCACCTCAGTAAGCTGAGAAGAATCCCTCACATAATCAGTTCCACACATTTCCATTCTCACCTCAGAGGGCTCCGCACCGGCATCAATGCCATCACCAAGTTTATCTTCATCAACTTCCATCTTCTCCAAAGACAAATCCTCAACCTTCTCTTGGCCGTCTACCTGGAAAGATGCATTTTTGGGTTCCAGCAACGATGCAGCAACCTGTGACTGACCTCCAGTCTGTACATTTTCCAGCACCTCCGTAAGCTGAGAAGAATCCCTCGCATCATCAGTTCCACACATTTCCATTCTCACCTCAGAGGGCTCCCCACCGGCATCAATGCTATCACCAAGTTTATCTTCATCAACTTCCATCCTCTCCAAAGACAAATCCTCGACCTTCTCTTCGCCGTCTACCTGGAAAGATGCATTTTCGGGTTCCGGCGATGATGCAGTAACCTGTGACTGACCTCCAGTCTGTACATTTTCCAGCACCTCAGTAAGCTGAGAAGAATCCCTCGCATCATTAGTTCCACACATTTCCATTCTCACCTCAGAGGGGTCCTCAACATTCTCTTCATTCTTCCCAAGGAGAGAAGACTGAACAATTGTGGAAACATCTTCAGGTACAAGACTAGCAGACTGAGATTCATCCACACTGGGCACCTCTTCAAGCACAGCCCCAACTGGAGAAGCATCCTTCCCATCACCCACTTCAGTATCTAGTCTCACCTCAGCAGGGTCCTCAACTTTCTCTTCATTCTTCCCTAGGAGAGACGACTGATCAATTGTGGAAACATCTTCAGGTTCAATACTAGCGGACTGAGATTCATCCACACTGGGCACCTCTTCAAGCACAGCCCCACCAACTGGAGAAGCATGCTTCCCATCACCCACTTCAGTACCTAGTCTCACCTCGTCAGGGTCCTCAACTTTCTCTTCGTTCTTCCCTAGGAGAGATAACTGATCAATTGTGGAAACATCTTCAGGTTCAATACTAGCAGACTGAGATCCATCCACTCTTGGCATCTCTTCAAGCACAGCCCCACCAACCAGACAAGCATCATTCCCATCACCAACTTCAGTATCTAGTCTCACCTCGGCAGGGTCCTCAACTTTCTCTTCATTCTTTTCTAGGAGAGAGGACTGATCAATTGTGGAAACATCTCCAGGTTCAATACTAGCAGACTGAGATTCATCCACACTTGGCACCTCTTCAAGCACAGTGCCACCAACCGGAGAAGCATCATTCCCATCACCAACTTCAGTATCTAGTCTCACCGCAGCAGGGTCCTCAACTTTCTCTTGATCAATTGTGGAAACATCTTCAGGTTCAATACTAGCAGACCGAGATTCATCCACACTGGGCACCTCTTCAGGTACACCCCTACCCATCGGAGAAGCATCCTTTCCATCACCTACTTCAGTATCCAGTCTCACCTCAGCAGGGTCCTCGTCTTTCTCTTCATTCTTCACTAGGAGAGAGGACTGATCAATAGTGGAAACCTCTTCAGGTACGATACTAGCAGACTGAGGTTCATCGACACTTGGCACCATTCCAAGCCCAGCCCCACCAGCCGGAGAAGCATCCATTCCATCACCAAATTCAGTATCATGCGGTTCCTCTTTTCTCTCCGATGAGATTTCAACCTTTTCATCTTCCGTTGGCAAGGATAAAGAGGTATTTTCCTCTAATACATCTTCCAAAGCAACTGCAGCAACCTGAAAGGGGTCCTTGCTTTCTGATATACTTTCAGGCCCCTTCTCAATTGGAAGCGCAACGTCCCCATCGCCTTGTACAATTTCATTGACTTCTGCTTTCCCCTTCAAGGAATCCTCAACCTTCTCTTTGTTTTGCAATTGAAAAGACAGTGGTCCATCTCTCTCAGATGTATCCACAGGATCAACATCCATACTTTCAGATGGATAATCATGTGCAGAACCACCCAACTTAGCAGCATCCATTCCCTCACAAATTGCAGTTTCATGCTCTGCTGGTTTCTCCTCAGAGGAAGGCTGAACAGTTTCTTCTTCTGTCGATTGAAAAGATAAAGGTTCACTGTCAGATGCGTTCTCAAGCTCAACTACCTGAGGAGGATCCATGCTTTCCAATGGATCTTCATGCATAACTGCGTCCACCAGAGAATTATCTGTTCCATCACAAGTTGAAGTACCATGTCCTCCTGGTTTCTGCTCAAAGGAGTCCTGAACTGTTTCTGTGCCTATCATTTGTGAAGATAAAGGCTCAATTCTTTCAGATGTATGTTCAGTCTCAACAACCCCAGTAGGATCCATGTTAGATTCATTATCAGGCACAACCCCAAGCTGAGAAGGATCTGTCCCATCAACAATTTCATGCTCGTCAGCTCTCTTCTCGGAGGAGTCCTCAACCAATTCTTCCTGAGAGTAGTCCATCCTTTCTGGTAGGTTTACAGGTACATTATCATCAACAAGAGTAGCATCTATCCCATCACAAATCTCATCTGCCTTCTCCTCATAGTCATCCCGAATTTTTTCTACACTTGTCCTTTGCATTGGTAATGGTTCATTTCTGTCGGAAGCATCTTCAGGAAGAACCTCAGCAATCTGAGAAGTATCCTTGCCATCACCAATATCAGTTTCATGTCCTCCTGGTTTCATCTCAGCCAACTCGATGTTTGTCACCGGGGAAAAAACGAGCCTTTCAGATACCACTCTGGGCTCAAGCTGACTTACTTGAGAAGATTCCATGCTTCTTGATGCTAGGTCAGGCACAATTTCACTCCCTTGTGAAGCATTTTCCCCATCATTGATTTCCTCGACATGCCCTTGTACTTTCTCAAAAGATGCTGAACTCTCAACAGGACACTTAACCGGTGAATTGTCACTTTCTCCCTCACAAATCTCATCTGCTTTCTCCTCATAGTCATCCCGAATTTTTTCTATACTTGTCCTTTGCATTGGTGATGGTTCATTTCTGTCAGAAGCATCTTCAGGAAGAACCTCAGCAATCTGAGAAGTATCCTTGTTATCACCAATATCAGTTTCATGTACTCCTGGTTTCATCTCAGACAACTCAATGTTTGTCACTGGGGAAGAAACGTGTCTTTCAGATACCACTCTGGCCTCAAGCTGATTTACTTGAGAAGATTCCATGCTTCTTGATGCACGTTCATGCACAATCTGAGTCCCTTGTGAAGCAATTTCCCCATCATTGATTTCCTTGATATGCCCTTGTAAATTCTTGAATGATGCTGAACTCTCAACAGGACGCTTGACCGGTGAATTGTCACTTTGTCCTTCATGTATTACCATGGAAGATGAAGGCAGACACGCATCTCCAAATTGATTCTCTGAACCATTCCCTAAAACCAGAGAAGCATCCACCTCAGCTTCAAGTTTTTCTCCACCCAGTGTTTCAACAACATCAGCCGAAGACATGACATTTGAGCCTCCTATAGGTCCTTCACCTGAACAGATATTTGCAGAGGGATGTATTTCTTCCGATATACATGTTGGCAAAGCCCCATCGACTGTAGGCACGTCGGTTCTATCCACAGCACCATTGTTCTCACCTTCTCTTTCTATGTTCACAACTGAGCTTCTAATGTCAGTATCCATGGGGATTGAGCTTTCTGTATTTTCTCCATTAGTTGTTAAAGGTAAATCTGCATTTCTTGATAAATTACCTAACACCCCATCACCATTCTCAGAAACTTCCATTTTGTCAGAAGTCTGAGGTTCGTCAGCTTTAGCTTCCAGTGGAGCAACTCCACCGGTCATCGGAACATTGTCTGGGGGGGCTTCAGTTTTATCTTCATTCATCACCGAACCTAGCATCAGATCCATGTTCTTTGGCATGCTTTCTGAGACAGTTTCGCTAACCTGAGGGACAGAATCACAAACAGCAGTCTCTTTGTCCCGGGTTGCTTCAGAGCCTCCAAGAGGACCTATTTCAAATGCACTGATGCTCTGTCCTTCCTCTGTCATCAAGGGGAGTGATGGGAGAGCACTGTCTTCTGAGATATTTTCTGAGCTAGCCCGAACGGCCTGGGAATCATTTATCTGGTCATCACCAACCAAATAATTTCCAGGGGGCACCAAATGAACTGAATGCTCTGAAAGCAAAGGTTTAGCCACTTCATGATAATCACCGACAGCATCGACTTTTGTTGATCTTCCGAAGCCATCAAGGTTGCCGCCATGGGGTGGATTCAAGTGCTCCTCTGATGGAGGCTCAGTTTTTTGTTCAGCAACGCTGTCCTGTAAGGTAGTAGGATCAGGCACAGCAGAATGGCCTTGACTCTCAAGGCTTGCTGTCTCTACTTCACAACCACCAGAATCATTGTTAATTATTGTCTCTGATGTGGGACCCATAGAACTGGCAACACCAAGAAAAGAAGACTTCCCAGAGTCCCTACAAGAGATATCTGCTTCAGAGCCAAATCTATTCATGCCAGTCACCGTCAGCTTTGCTTTGCCTAAAGATGCCATAGGCACCTCCATGCAGGATGCGTGATCCTTAACCGAAGCAGATCGTCTCTGAGAAAGATTTTCAGTCGATTCTATAGCATCTGCAGGAGCTTTCTCAATGGACTTGAATTTATTCTCAGTGTCCGAAGTGCAAGCAGCTTGTCTCTGACAAAGATTTTCAGTTGATTCTACTGCATCTGCAGGAGCTTTCTCAAAGGATTTGACTTTATTCTCATCGTCAGAAGAACATTGTCTAACATTGTCTTCTTCTCCAAGATTTGAATCTGCTTGTATAACTTCTGTGGCAACATCCTTCATGAAACACTCTCCATCAGGTAGTGTTAAATTAGTACCTGTTTCAGCTGAGCCAACAGCGGTGAGGGATGGAGATTCACGGATACAAGAGCTTGAATCATGTGCCTCATTTGAAACAGAATCCTCTCTCTTCAAAGAGTTCTTGTCACTATCTGTGGTCACATTTTTTGATGAAATAGCTGACTCTTTCACATATTCAGAAGTTCGGTTTGCAGCCACCTCAGCGAAAATCTCACTTGCAACTGATGGAAGTGCGCTCACAACTTCACTTTGTCCACCAATCTTCATTTTGCCAGCTGTAATGTCAAATTTCTCAAAACCAGGAGGAACAGCAGGCATTTCATCCAAACTTTCAGAAGTAACTTGCCCCTTGACAGAGGTGCCTAGAGAGCCAGTGGCTACCTTACTTTCAAGGGCACAGACTACAAGTTTTGAAACAATTGGCAACTTTTTCTCTTCTACCACTCCACTACCTTCTCGCTCATGCTGATTACTCTGAGTTTGAAGATCAACCCCAGGAGTATCCATTTCAACAATTGATCTACCTGAAAAACTTGTGTTCATTACACTCAGCTCTTTGTTCACCTCGACAGAAGCATCACCTGGACTTTGCAACCGTTCACCAATTTTAGTTTTAGACAAACGGTTTTCAGACAAAATTTCCTTCATCATAGAAGCAACATAACGGACATCAGCATTGTTCTTTTGTCCAAAATTGAGGCCTGCAAAAGATCACAAGTCCAAAATTGAGGCTTATGATATAAGCCTAGAAAGAGAAAAAAAAAATGAGGTGGATTTTTACTCTGAGGTCTGGAGGAAGTGTCCTGGCCTCCTGTTGAGGTGGCAGGTGATTTGAATTTAGAAGGAGAATCAGTTTGGCAGGTGAACTTTGGATCCTTGGTAACATCTATCAGCTGCTGACCATCAATATCTTGTTTACCTATCATAAGAATTGCTTTATATACAAATGATCATGCAAGTTTAACCTGTGACTGAAAAATAGATTTTGTATGCTAACCTGATAAGACATCTGGAACCTGAGTTGAAACAGAAGCCGGCTTCCTGCCCCTCCGTCTTGGTGTCTCAGCCCTGCCCTGGTTTTTACGAGTTTGCCTTGTACCTTGCGCAGACCCAGGTGGGGAAGTTGAGGCTGTAACAGAGCTATGAGCATTCTTTGGGTCCTGGGAGTGCACAGCTCTACTGCTACTTTCTGAAAGTGTAGAACAATCAAGGCTAACGGACAGCGCAGGCTTAGATGTTGACAAAGCCACATGTGCTCCTTCCGAAAGAGTACTTGTTAGTGCAGGTAAAGGCAATGGACCTCCACCCTCACTTCCTGGTGGCCCACCACTTTTTGAAGATGCAGATGCCACATCAGCTGAAGCAGCACTTTGAATTTGACCCGAGGAACCTGCATAAATTCCAAATGCTCAGTAATCTCTCTGCAAAAACTTATCTTCTTGTTTTAAGAAACTGACATTTGAGTTTATCATTCATGCATCTGCAGGTACTCACTTGAGACATCATTGCCACCACCTTGAGCAGTCGATGAGCCCACTGACTGTTTGCTTTGAACAGAGTCTAAATTCTCCCTGTCCAGAACAGATCCACCTGTGAGTGTACAGAGCTCACCAGCCCTTGCAGTCCCAACATTACTGATTTCAAAACTAAAGACCTCTTGCTTATTCATCTCATTAACACTTAATATGCCCGTTTGGTCTGCTTTTGAATTCAATTTCACATCCTGACCAATAGGGACATCAGATAAAGTATGAGATATGGGAGTCTTTCTCCTTCGCCCACGCCTTGGTGCTTCGCCACCACTTTGACTTTTTTGAGTATGCCCTCTAATCTCCAAAACCATGGAAGGGCTTGAACTTGTCAATGGAGAACCTACAACAGTAGAAGAAAGAGGTGAAGGGCCTGACAGCTGCATGGAGTTCGAAGCACTTCCTACAACAAAAATCGAAGTTCCACTCAAATCTACTCCAACTAATGCTGCAGAAGTAGATTGAGGACCTTGGGTTGCAGGAGAAACGGAAGCGCCTTCACTTGGAGCAATGGTCTTAATCATCGTTGAATCAGCAGATTTACTCTGAAATTGCTCCTTTGTTGTTGCATCCAGACTAGGAAAGTGATCTGGAGTTGCGTGAACCGCAACAGCCCTTTTCCGTCCCCGGCCTCTTGGTGCTTCTGCTCGACTTAGAGCCTTCCGTCCGGGTTCTTTTGCCTCTGGCGGAACAGAATGACTTCCAGGGGTAGTTTGAGGACCAACAGTAGGAGGAAAAGGACTTGCCTGGGATGTAGGTGTGAATCCGCCAGCAGAATGAGGCACGACCACAACATCAGTTTTCAAAGGAGTTGATACCTGAGATTGCTCAAGACTGGAGGAAGCTGGGTGGCTAGAAAGAACTCCTTGTGAGTCTCCATGAAGTTTAACAGATTCAGTAGGGGCTATAACAACAGGTATCGTCGGAGATGTAGTTGCAGCCACTCTTTTTGGTCTTCCTCGTCCTCGTTTAGCTGGAGGTGTTACCTCGTTCTTTATGCTCACGGGTGCTGGCTGTATAGAGGGAGATGATGCAGGCAGAGGAAGTGGAGCAGTAGGCTGCGTAACAAGGGCCTGCACTTTGGGCTCTATAGGTAAGTTTGTTTTTACCTCTTCATCCTTCAACTTAGGTGAATCAGGAGATTCGACTTGACACATTTTTTCGAATTCCTCTTCAGTCATTTGCTCTTCGTATGACCGCACCTGAGTAAGTAATCATAGAAAGAAAAGGTAAGGGATCCTTCACAGTGAGCACATGCCATAGAAGATAATTGCCATCGATCATGAGATTTTTAAAAACAGAGAAAATAAACAAACCTCTCTTGCACGCTTGCCCCGTCCATAATGTTCAGTATCAAGGCTGCCTGCATACCCAGGTTTCCGCTTGGCACCATTTGTTGACGTCATCCCACTGTTTGACACTTCGTACACCTTCATTGCTTCATAAAATTCTTTCAAGTCGTTATCAGTCACTAGGCGAGGAGGCAATGGAGGTAGAGGTTTCGAATCATCTTTCTCCCGTCCATGTACCAATTTTGCCCATGTGGCCTGCATTGTTAAAGCATCAAAATCCATGACAATTATCAGTAGGTAACAACTGTCCAGCAAATACACTAAATGAATCATGCTACAAAGCATACCATCTCCTCTTCGTGCCTTTGTTTGTCAATTGACTCGAACACATCAATCTCTGACTCGCTGCAAGTAGTTATACCACATATACATACAGAGATGAGAGTGCAAGCCATGAAAACAAAACAGGAAGGAAAGAAGTAAAGAAAACTACAAATCCTGAATAAAGGGGAAAGAAGACCTGGCAAATAGATGAGAAGTTCTATGTCATGGTAAATTACAGCTCAGAAGGTGAATCCAACAGAGGGCGCAATATATGGTGAGGTGCAAGCATGCAGTTTTAATATGGGATTCTGGCTAGACAATTGATTGACACCAACAAGAGCAAAGCTACAGAGAAATACCCAAAAAAAATAAAAGAGTAGGTTGATCTAAATGAAGGTTGCTTTCCTATCAAGAAGCTACACTAACACCATTATCCAAAAACATCATTCTTGACCAAAAAAATGAAAGATGCGACAGATTCCGATGGTTATGTCAACCAATTTTGACTTGCCATCGAGCTAGAGTGAAAAACAAAAATGAAAGACACCGAACTACTTACCTGAGATCCACAAGTACACTAAATGCAGAGGGGAAACCTTTATAATTTTTAACATAAACTTGAGGTACCTGCGGGCTAAAATGTAATTTAGACCATCGTCATCCAGTACAGGAGCAGCTTCCTCTTTCTTGCACTCTCTAAGGAGAGACTCTAGGTATTCTCTTCGATCCTCTGGACTGTGAAATGAAACAAACACATCAAATGTTAATTCTAAGAGACCTCTGAACTTCTACACCGCTGAGAATGGAATTATCATTTGTCAGCAGGAACTACTGGCTTAAGAATATGACTTTACCTGGTGTCATTATCAAAAAAGCCAGCAGTAATACTCTGATTGGCAACTCCAAGCTTGTGCTCTGCTGATCTTCTGACTTGTTCTTCTACAGTTTGAACCTTAGAACATTAAGTAGATAGAGAGAGTTCAGCAAATCCACATTCCAAACAACAGTATCTAGTATGTTACACCCAACAGACATGGGGAATTTCTTAGATCAAGGCACGCAACATACCATAGGCACACTGGAAGCACTTCCTGATAATGTGTACAAATGTTGTTTATTTCATTTCTTCAAGATATGATATAGCTAAGTAGCAATTGTTTTTATGTCTTCATTAAGGAAGTTGGTTATTAAATATTTGTGCTAAACTTTGTATTACTAGGAGAAAATCTCTTCGGTTTGTCTAGCTTCGTGAGCGTTATATTAATCTTATAATGGGAAAATGACCATGCAAGTCCTAAAACTTGTCAACTTCATGCACTCGAGTACTAAAACGTGCATTTAAATCGTATAACTCATCAACTTCATGTACTTTAGTCCTTCCGTCTAAATCCATCAGTATTAAATGGACGAAAATGCACACGTGGCTTTTTACTAATCTAATCTAATGAGTTTTTGAACACCAAACAATTTGTGTGCCACATCAGAAAACTAAAAATTAATTGAAAACAAGAATCTAAAATTGTAAAAAAAAAAATACGAAATCAATAAAAAGATAAGACTGGGCCAGTAGAGGCAGCGACCCTCACCACAAGCTAGCTCTCGCCTGATGGGGGCGGCCGCGCCAGTGATTGCTAACACCGGGCAAGCATAGCCACCATCATGAGCTAGGGCCCTTGCCCTTGACTTGATCTGGGCGAGGGCAAAGGCCCTTGCCAATGACAAAAAACCACCATCCCCAACCCTATGGTGTCTTCTTCCTTTTATATTTTCTTTTTTTCTTTCAATTTCCAGATGTGATTTTTATTATCAGTTTTTTTTTCTTTTCATTTTCTGATATGGAGTCACAAAAAGGCATCTTTTTGTTTTCAACTATTTAAAAAGTATTAAAAAAACCACGTAGGCTTAAAAACGTGATAGAAAAGCCACATGTGCATTTCTGTCCACTTGAAATTATCGGACTTGACGGAAGGACTAAAGTGGACAAAAATTACACGTTTTATGACTCAAATGCACGAAATAAAAGTTTTAAAACTGAAGAGCACGAAGTTGACAAGTTTTAGGACTTGCACTTTAATTATCCCTACTTTATTTTTTTGGTCGAGAAATTATCCCTACTTCAGAGACCTGCTTCTGCACATTATATCAGAATAAAGGGAAAAAAAGAAAATATTTATATAAAAAGTGAGTATCCGCATAACGAACAGACATGGATGGCATTCACAGTTTCACCAGACACGTACCAAATAGCAAACATTTTAATATGATTCATTGGAATCCCATTTTGGCTTAGTATGCATATATTCACTTAAGCAGCCCCAACTCCACTAGTCAAACTATGCACATGTTGGTGCTCCACTGCCTAGTATCCAATGTCATATACCCACTCCCACCCCACTGCCAGAACATGCGGAACGTGTTGCAATCATAGTTCGAAAAATAAGGTTGGAATATGTGCAACAGAAAGTATCTGGAAGAAGCGCAACTGTTCTATAGAATACAAAGTCTTATAATATGTAAAGACACCACAAACATACTAACCGTTTCAAATCGAATAACCAGTACATCCTTTTTCTGGCCAATCCTATGAGCTCTAGCCTGTGCTTGGAGATCGACCTGAGAAGCACCGAGTAAAAGAGCAGCTTTTTAAGTTACAGAGACTTCCTATACAATAGCTAGATAATAAGAAGGAAGGATCTCGTATATTGCCTGTGGATTCCAATCAGTGTCAAATATGATTACAGTATCAGCTGCCTGAAGGTTTACTCCAACACCACCAGCACGAATGCTAACAGAGACAAAGCTTTATCATCGATACAGAACAAAACTAATCCAGCTACAAGATCCATCAACAAAACTATAAAACAATTGAGGCTCAACATTTTTCTGCGAGTGGTACATCAGTACCATAGAACAGAGCAAGCAATATTCTATAAGAAGCAGTGTCCGAAAGTTGGCCCAGTATGATGCAAGTGGCCATCCTAGCTCCTACATTGCTCAAGCTAGAAGGCAAAGGAAAAACCAATTTCTAGCACATTAATAACTTCCAAGTTTCAGGACATTGCACGATGTTACCTCAGTAAAAATATAAAATAGGGCGAATTAGGCTCATTGAATGAATCAATAAGACGACCACGGTCGCTCCCGGAGGTGTGCCCATCCAAACGAAGATAGCGATACTGTTTAGCGAGGAGATATTCCTCCATTACATCAAGCAACCTCGTCATTGTGGAAAAGAACAGAACCTGATGAATAAGAAAAGTTCATTTTCTCCCTAATACGAATATTCAGCACAGAAACCAGCCCATTCATAGGGTACAGAAGAGAGTATGATGACTAACCAAAAAACACCAAGTTTTTCCAAGCAAAACCATGTAGATATAGACAAGGACCATAAATGAAACATTCCCCTAAATCATAAGACAATTTGATGCATGATACCATAATCATATTTCGGATGTCACTCTAAAGTGACACTAGTAAAATTGACTTCCGTCAATATAATGCAGTAATCTAAGTATACTGACAAGTGGAAGAGTCTCAATAATGAAAATGATTACTTGACATGGATATCATGGATGATATTCATACATAAAGTGTGAGTAATATAAGTATACACATGATGCTCTTACACGATGATCCGTAGCTTTCAGTTTCGGCAGCAACCGATCTAACATCTCAAGCTTCCCGCAGAGTCTGATGATTGGAGGCAGATAATGCTTGGGGATTAAACTATCAACCTAGCAAAGACACAACTCAATTAATTCTATATGTCTAAGTGATAAAAGTACGCAAGCATAAATTGGCTGCATGCTACAAATTCAGAGTCAAAGGTGCCATAAAAGCTTTAATTTTGGAGTTACTTATCTCCAAAAAGAATTTCAAAGAATACCTCATAAACATGCAAATCCATGTGTCATGGAGAATGAAACACATTATGGATGAAGAGAATACCTCATCTGCATGAAGCTGGCTGAGATAAGGATGATTGCATATATTCCTAAGCTCAATTACAGAGTTCTGCACTGCCCGTGACTGGCAAAGAGGCAGCCAAACGAAAAGGAATACTTTAATGTTGGCCAAAAACTTGCAATAAGTGAGGAAATTTACAAAATTACCAATAAGAAAGCAAAATTCCAAAATGTAAACCTTAAAATTTCCCAGAGACCCTAGATTATCTTCCACTCTCTTCATCAGCAGCTTTTGATATGCAGAGGCTTCGCATCTTATTAGCCTTTCAATCTTCTCCGGTAGCTGATTTTCAACCTACCAGAAGAGCATGGAACATTGCAATCAATTAGCCAAGTAACTTGTCAGAGGGAAGAGAAACTGCAACATTCAGATGACAAAGAAACCACATTCAGCATTCTTAGCCGATCTCTTCATCCCAATGATCAAATTAGCAGATGACAGATAATGGTAATTTGCACATACATCTGCAAGGTGAACAACAAGAGTACCAAATGTGCCCACCATAGAGATGCCCAATATGGAAGCCAACCAGTCAACTTACCAGAATAGCAAGTTACCTAATTTGATTATAAATGCCCACTCAGAAAACTTACATCAGAAATGAGTTTGTACATGATAGATATTCAGTAAGTATGTGTTCTGTTAGTAATAACCTTAGCTAGATCAAGCTACACTTACTAAAATATCTTAACCCATTGAATGGGTTTTAAGTCCAGTTGCTTGAGCTAGATATAGCAAGAACAGAGGATTTCGGCTTGATGGCACTGCTAATCTAACCAGAAAAGACTAACTGACAAGTCTTCTGCAGATTGCCTAAATTACATGAAATATGAGATATCAAGCTATTAGAGCCTGTTGAAAGAAGTTCGAGAGGCAAAAAATTCAAAAGAGAATGTTCCATCGCTCAGGCATCATTTTCAGACCAAGTTGTCTTATTATTTATTTATTTTTAAAAAGGATATAACGTGGCCTACATAATAAGCAGCGGGAATAATGCACCTCTTTAGAGAGAGAGCTAGTGACATATTTCTGTTCCTGCTCCAACGAATAGGATAACATTTCATGACCACGCTTGCACCTTTTTTGTTAACGCAAGTGTAAACCAAGTTCCAGGGAGTACATGCTCTACTATGTAGGGACAATGCTTTATCAAAGCATAAAATCCAGAGCCAGCAAAACGGCCAAAGAGGCAATGTAATGCATTAAACCAAATTCTGGTCCAGCATGTTATTTACAGTATCACATGACACCAGATATTCCAGAATACCATCCCATGAATAAGACAACAAAAGTACCAAATTTATGGTAATTACATGTACCAAGACAAATGCACAACTGGTTGCATTCTTAAAAAGGGACATCAGATGCAATTTATCTATTAAACACCATACCTTGTGTTTCAGTCTTCGAAGCACAAATGGTCGAAGAACTTGGTGAAGCCGGTTGATAATCAAAAGATTCTCCTCCTCAGACAACAGCGCCTGAATGACACAAGGACACATTAATGTGAGATTTTGCTCCATACCAATATCTCAGTGTATCCTAAATATCAAAGTTTAGGAAGAACTAACTTCATCTTGTGAATTATCACCATTGCTCTCAAATGGTTTGTTGAACCACTGAGAAAAATCCTCTGATGAGTTGAAAATATTTGGCAATAAGAAGTTAAGTAGTGCCCACAGCTCCTCAAGGTTGTTCTGGACAAATTTGGATAAATACTGTAGTCAATATATTGCCCCAATACCCCAATAACAAGATAAAGAACAAGGAATTTCCCATATGATGCACCTGTAAGGGTGTCCCAGTCAAAAGCAATCTGTGGGAGCTCTGATAGTGTTTCAAATCAGCATTCAACTTGCAAGAAGCATTCTTAATTCTGTGACCTTCATCAATTATAATGTAGCGCCAGTGTATTTTGCATAATTTTGGTCTGTCATGCTTGTTCATAAGATACTCATACGTTGTCAGAAGGACATTGAACTTCTGATGAACAATTTTTTCCCTGGAAAACGTAACACGAACCATCATATTTTGAAGCAAAACAAATCCCATGACTTCCACTGTCAAAGTCAAAAGATTTACTGGACAAGTAGAAAGTTCCATATAATGCCAGACTCAGGTGCATAGAACTTTTTGGTCACAGAAAAAATCAATGAGAAACTGACAATAATAAGCTATCTCAAAATAGACGAGAATAAAAACAAAATGTAGGTGAGCAGCATCAACTGGAGTATGAGTGATATAGGCAGTGTCTACATAAAAAAACGCAAAAAAAGAACATCCAGCTTGCTCAACTTGCAAATTTTGTGTTGGTGATATAAAAGGACCACTACAATCCAGTTTTCATAAAGGATTGGAGAATAATGGGAAAGAGAGAGCTACCACTTCTGTAGCCCAGCCATTGAGGAGGGGAAGAAAGGGGAGAGGGAAGAGGAAATCAGGGGTTAACCTTTCCTTGATCAGACACCAGATACCAATTATATGCAGATGGAGTTACCCTTAAGTATTCCTGCTGAAGGAGAGACTAAAGTGAACTAATTCAGGATGCAAGAAGGTGAAAACCACATTGACACCAGAGCTGAAATCAGCAAAGCTCCAACAGCCAAGGGCAGGTATCTAGGAACAGGGAGCACCATTTACAATTTACTTTCTTACCTTCCAATCAATTTATTTGAAGGCTGAATATAGGATTCTGAAAGGGTGGTGATTGCAGAAAACGAAACAGAGCCGTACTTTGAAAATATTGAATCTACAGTCTACGCCATAAGTCATAAACATCTTCGGGTATATATTTAGACGATTACTGCTGGAAGTGTAAATCAACACTCAAACAAACATATTTACAGTTGGTGACTGATGAATTTGAGTGCTACTGATTGTCTTATAATGAGCAAGGATTATCCGCCTTTCTGAGCTACAATACTACTGAGATGAGCCTGATGCATAAAGACACTGAGCGCTACTCAGATGAACCCTCTACTTTTGTAAACTGTACATACTACTGAGATGCCTATCGCAGTGGCATTCGCAGTGGCAATTTCTAACTACGGATTAGGAGCAGCCACCATGCCATATCAAGGCCGAGAAAGAACGATTTCCAGAAGATTGACAAATTTCTAACTCAGATGAAGCAGATCCCCGTCCCCCAACAAAAAAAAAAACCTAAAACAAACAAATAAATTAAATCAAGAGAGACGATTAACTTACTTGAATAACCTACGTCTTTCTTCCGGAGGCCCAGCATAGACTATTTTATGCACGCCAGGGGCCCAGAAATTGATTTCAGACTCCCAACCGGGTAAAACCGAAGAAGGTACAACAACTAGAAAAGGCCCTCGGTCATTTTTTGTTTCCATCAGATAACAAATTAAGGAAATAACCTAAAACAAATAGTATCAGAAAATCAGTAGCAAGTAAAGAAAACTTTGAATACCAAAAGCAGAAGATAAAGCCACTTCAGAATAATAATGGATCTATAGGGTACCAACCTGAACAGTTTTACCAAGGCCCATTTCATCAGCAAGAATTCCATTCAAATGATTGTTGTACAAAGAGACCAACCATCTTAGACCATTTAATTGGTACCTGAAGACCAAACACTATGTTGTAAAGGATCTTGCATTGGACCACGTCAAAAGAAACCTCCCTCAATTATCATGGCAGGTGAGAAGGTTAAGCATGAGGCTTTAGGGAGGGAAAAGGAAGTCTCAGGAGAGAGAGAGAGAGAGAGAGAGAGAGAGAGAGAGACTCACTCCCTCAACTTTCCTCCTTTTAGAGTTGCTGGCTGCTCTGCTATGCTCTCTTTTATGCTGCAGAAGATTATTCTTTCTCAATAAGTACACGACGCACAAGTAATCCCAGTAAAAGTAGGAATTGCATGCATATCAATAACCAGAAGGACATGACAGTGGCCATCAGCACATCGTAGAGTAAATCTTCAGCAGCTACACAATGTTATAGCGAGAGCTGGAACAGTACCTGTGCGCCATCATGTAGTATTTTTCATTGCTCTCTTTGTAGTGCTGCAGAACACATTTGGAACATACAATGAGTCAGACAAGTATAAATTAAGCAGCATTCAGAAGTGACTTTTTGTTTACCAAACAAAACAGAAAAAGCAGTATACCTTTGCCTGGTCACAATCATCTTCATTCTCAAAAGCAGATTCACTCTTGTCCAATACATTTAAAGATTCTTCTTCATCAATATCATTGTCACAGCGTTTTGCCACTGCCTTTGCCTCATGTAGCTTGGAACCAAGCTTCTGAAGATACTTCTCAGTTTCTTTGAGCAACTGCTTAACACGATCTGATTTCGTATCCTGCAACAATGTTGCAATTCCATGTCAAAAGGACAAAAATAAATGATATGAAGAATCAATGATGTCTGTATGAATCAAAATCCTACCTGTACCATGCGCAGGTATCCCTCGACATCATTAATCTTAAGTAGAGTCAGCTTTTCACGCTGGATTCTGTCATTCTTCTCACGATGTATTCGTTCTTTCCTTTTGTGAAATTCCTTCACATACTTGTTAAAACCCTTCAACCGTTCTCTCTTAATCTTAAACACATCATCGAGTCGTTCTCTGAAGTTCAGGAATCAATCGAGTCATAATAAGCATTTGGAGCACCACAAGGGGCAGGTAATTGAAATCAAAAACATACAAACAACACAAAACTACCACAAACTAAAGCCAGAAACACACAGTTAGACATACTTGTGAACTTCCAGATCGTTAAAGAACTCCTTCTGCCGCTCACGAATTCTCTTTTGACGTTCTTCCTTCATTTTCTGTTCATATCTTTCTATCTGTCTTGTCCTGCGACCATGCTTAGGTTTCTTGAATAATCGCAAGTAATCCATTTCAGCCACTACTGGTTTAAAGAAATCATTCACAAAATCACTGCCCAAAACAATGCAGATTGCATCAGAACTTTAAGGACATATAGTGTGTGCCACCAATAAGAAAAGTTTTCTCCAGTAAAATAAATGAAAGTCCGAATGGACAACAAATACCTCCGCAGACGATGTTGAAGTGCCAATAGCTGCAGTTTTTTCAATTCAATGACGCTTTTGGTTTTTGTGGACAAATCCTCAGAAGAGCTCACAGATTTCTGCCAGACATTAAACAGTTAGCAGAGGCCACAATCGCAATGTAACTTTCATACACAAGGATTCAATTAAAGCAGTTTAGTAAGGATGACAACGATGTCCTTACTCATGTTTGCTGGTCCTTGTCCCACAGATTCAGCATCAGTTTAATGAGAATTCATGTCATCAACAAAACTATAATTTCAATGTATTTATCATGGGCTCGACTGAATTTCACTTAAAGGTCTTATGAAGAAAGCAGAAGTCAATGACTAATTTGTCCCATAAACCTAGAGAAAAGTCAAAGAAATAGCTTAAACTCCTTGTCCACCAGCAGCAATACTTGCTTGTCCAAACATTTTAAAGCCACAAATAGATAGAATTTCTTACACATACAATAAAAACCCCAACAATTTAGCTCCAGCTATCAGGAGGGTGGGTGGAAAAGTATAGATATGGACGTATAGCACAACAAAATAGAATGAGTAAGTGACTAGCACATTTTCCTTGACAGACCTTTAACCTGTCGAAGGACGTGGCAATTCTTTGCCGAGCTTTCTGCCGCTTTTGAGACCAGTTCTGCTCATCGGAGAATTTTATTCTCTGCTGATGCATAATCCATTTCTCCAACATGGTGTACTTTGGAGGTGGCAGCCCAGAAGAGGGCGAGTTATCTTCTTCCTCCTCTTCTGCTCCCACTGCTGACACTTCTAGGACAAAGAGGAACAGATATTAAAAGCAAATTGATGAACTGAAGACTTATTGCCTCCATTGAGAGATCATCTCTAAATACATTTACCTCCAAAATAATCTCTTCAAACATATCAAGTTCTTACCACGAGATACATTTCTTGGCATCCCATTTGCATCATCCATCAGAATTACATTGTGATGTTCATCGATAAAAGCTCTTCTATCCTTCTCGACATTTTCGCCCTGACCACTAACTCCCAACTCCATCGCACTTGACACTATTGGCTGGTGGGTATCGCAACGATACTGTGAGTCAGTTTGATTTGGCATCTCAGGCTCCAGATTTCTATTAGCTATAAGGCGTCTCCTTTCTTTTTCATGAGTGTTATGGTCTAAAGATGATTTGCCACTAATCTCCACCAGCTTTTGCTGGTTGGCTTCTTTCGAAAAATGGGAACCCAATAGATTTCCAGCTGCTGAAGCCGGGTAGTTTCTCTCAGCTTCACCAACCTTATTCAGTCTACCAAGTGGATTTGCCAGATTAGGAACTTTGGAGGGCTCATTAGACGATTGTGCAACTTCTTTAGAAGCAACTAGCTCAGACCGATTTCCATCCATAGAGCCACCTGTTATTTGCTCATTAACTTACAAAGATGCAAAGGAATTAAAACTAGAATGTGCAATTGAAAAGGTGCATACCTTCTTTCTGATGCATATTTCCAAGAGCTATGTCGAGGTGCAAAGGCTTTGGCGCCATACCATTCCTGTAGGAGCAACCAAAAGTTTGATGAGAAATATGTCTACCCGGAATAGGTTCATAAAGAGCTTATTACCTGAAGGCTAAAAAAACGAGGCACTGAGCTCTGAGTTGTTTTAACTGTTGCTCCTTAAACAGCATGCCAGGGACAGCAAGGCGTTTTCCTGTCTCTTTGAAAGTCGAACTTGTAGGCAACATCACTTCAGAGACACTATTCTGCCCAGAATCCTGCACAAGCAAACAAGCATTGGTTCCCAATATAAATATCAGTAGGCAGTGTCAATCCTACATCCCAGAACTCAGCATGTGCTAAAGTTTAAGTATAGGAACCCATAAAAGGACAAAACTCAGAAGGGACTGAATGCTAACTCCAGTGAAACTACTGGGAAAACCTAAAGAGGAGCACCTTGCAAGCTTGACAAAGTACCTTTAAATAGAACTCAGACAGTATTAACACAATATGTCACATGAAAAGACTTCTCACAATGTCTCACAAGAAAGGTTCTTTCATTTGCTGTAGCTTGAAGAATCGACAATAGAGTTGAAAACAATAGATCAAGGCTTTGACACTAAAATGTAATTTCAAACCAGGAGCCGATAACTACGTCAAGCCAGATTGTCAGGTCAAAAACGTTAATATTACAATTACCTCTATGTATAACAACCCAAGAAGTGGTCAAGTAATTAAGACAGCTCTTAAATTGAATTAAGACTTAGTTATTACAGTTTGGTGGCTCAGGAAGTGTTCAAGTAATTAAATCACAACTCTTAATTTGAATTAAGACTTAGAGATTACAGTTTGGTGGCTCAGGTCCCAATAATTAGATTTACTATTTCTAATCTTGAGGCTCACTGCACATAATTTCTTTTCCATGTTGTCCTGTATATTCCAAGCACGCCACAGCTAATGTCTGTTACCATTACTTTGAAATACTCCTCTAGTATTGGGTAGATGGATTCCCAGTCATTAACCATAAACCCTTCATTATCCTTCAAAAACCACCTTTTGGATTTCACACCAAACTAGTATTGAAGTACATATTTGCAGCAAAGCATATGTGGAGCGAAATTCAGATCTGCCATTTAGATCTTCAACAGAACTTCAGGCATGATGAAACCATTTTGTTTGTTTCATGAGAAAATTTGGGCCAAAAAAGGGACCAATATGCAGCTACCAGAAGATAATTGGTGAAAATAGAAAAATCTATTAAACCAAAGCAAAAGTGATGGAGGAAAGAGAGGAAAGCGGCGGAGAGATACTACTACTAAACCAGACAAACAAGTGTTCCTTTTATCTCCAAGACTTCTTTCTGGAACTTCTGTGCCACCATCTCATGGTCAGGCATCATTAGAACTTCTCCCTAATCTTTCAAGATGACGTGACGGCTTACTGTGATACTCTATATTTACAGTTAAAGAGTACACCGTTGATACCTCAAGGGCTCCAATAACTATAGAGCGGCTCTTCATCATATCTTTAGATTGATTTTGACGTGAAAACTGGAAAATAGTGAGAAAATTAAATCAATGAACCACCTCATTCTTGTGTCAAGATGGCTGAGATTCATCGAGTATAAAGAAACAGACAAAAAATCACAATGTAAGTCATTAAAATTTGTTTTCTCTAATCCAGTCACATCAGCAATAATTAATCCAGACCACTAAAAACTATTTGCCTTATTTGGGTCATGGGCTTTATTGAGCTAACCAGTTTTAAGCCAACCAAGTTTACTTCTCTATTTCTTTGGCAAATGGCCCTAAAACTCACTATTGTACAATTTTTAAATGGAGTATTAGTCCAGCTCAGCAAGTTTGCCTAAAGCCCGTTTCCACATTAAAAAATTTGCAGGCCGGCATCTAATTTATTATCGAAAAACCTAATCTCAGAAACATAAGGGAATTAGTGATTAGAAGGATGTGTTCTGTAAAGTTTACTACCAAACTGAATAGTAGCCCCTTCATAAGACATCGTCGCACATTCAAACTTCAAGTATAAAAATTGCATACCTGAATGTTCCTCCTTGCAAGGTCTAGAACACTTGACTTTCCTCTATCATGTTCCAAGAGATTTCCAGAGCCAAGAGCAGTAGAAACATCGTCCCTTCTAGCAGAGGATATGAACTGGGAGGCACTTTTGTTCATGCTCTGTTCAATCTCGGTAGAACATGCAACAGGAAGGACTTCCATGCTTCTTTCACCATGCATCTTATGAGAAAAACCATGACCCCCGTGTGAAGAACCACCAGCCTGCATTTGATCTTCCAGCCTGGATCTTGAAACTGATTTCACAGTGCAGGGTGAAGATGAGGTCGATCCATCAAATAGCCATCACATAGGGAAAGAAAAGAGTTTAAATACTCACCTCCAACTATTGAACTCCCCAGTGGTTCAACCTTGTTCACTTTTCCCTTCCTCTGATGGACCAAAGAATTAGAGGAATCAACTTTCTGGAAATTCTCAGCATTTGATTCAGCTCCTGATGAGTCTCCTCTTTTTCGCTTAGTATCGAGCTTTCTACCCTCCAGCTGTCTTCCCCAATTTGCTTGATCATGCCTTTCTTGCGACTGTAAACCAGCAGACCTTGGGTCAAAACTAGGTAGACCTTCATTTTCAAGTGAATGACCACTTCTATGCGCTGCAGGTTCTTGAAAATAAACGGGTCCAACATTTGGACCAACTGGTTGCCTATTTGAAGAAAATGGATCGCTCTTAGACATCTCATTTTCAGCCAGGCCAGCTGTGGTAGGGAGGCTTGCCTGCGAAGATCCTGAAAGATCATATTCCATTCAGCAAAGTTCAGTAAAAAGCAAAAAGTGTCGCACTGCCGGTGCCCTATCAAGTTTGCAAAGTAATTTTTGCCCATGTGAGGATAATGAATTTCCATAGGAGATTTTACCAGCATGTGTAGGTGCGACGGATTCTCCTGTTTGACTTCCCCCTGATAAAGGAAGGCGCGAGGACTTCAAGGCCTCAATATCGAGACCATGTTGATTAATAACAGTCTCCATAGCCCTTAAGGAGAAACGGGGACGAAAGAAAAGGCTATGTGAGAAAATCAGGTAAAGAAAAGAATTGGCCAAAATGTAATGCAGACATATTCAATAGCCTCCTGCTTTGATCTGCCACTTTACAGATGCCATAAGATATACATTACAGAACCAATGAAAACCATCATTCGGCTATTTACACAGTACAGAGTAGCAATCCTCATGCAGCTGGTAAATAAAACATCTCCTTCTCCATAAGCCAAAAAAGAAAACCTCATATTCGAGCATAAAAAACATCAATTGATCACTGTCACAGAGATGTTGCCGGCCAAGAAATGCGAAACACACTTGAAGATCTATTGGCCTACATTCTTCGCACCAAATCCACATGATGGCAGTCAAGTAAGACGTGAAACTGAAGAAACATGTCGTTAAAGACAATTAGCAATTACAGCCAGCATATCAACACACCATAGAGGTAATTCCACCCCACGAGCAAGTCTAGAAACATTTGAAATCCAGCTATCTGAAGAATCCTCCGCATGTGCTGATTAAAACAAGCGTAACACGGGACAGGAGGAGGGGTGTCACCTTGATATCACTTGATACGGCATCGAGTGTTCTTTCCCGCTCGATTTCATGTGTTGCAATATCTGAGCAATTAGCCGCAGTCAATAAGTGCTACCAGAGAGGGAAGATTAAAGCACTTCAATTGAACAGCAGAAAAATGACAGAGAACAAGCACGCACCACGTAGAGTTTCGTAGCCAGCTTCGCAGGCTCGTCCTTGGATTCTTGAATGAGCTTCTGCAGGAACTTCGCCGCCTCCAACTCGACATTGTGCGACGACGACGACGACGCCGCCCCCGCCATCCGGCCCGATCACAAACCCCCAAAAGCGAAGCTTCACAAACCAGAAAGACACCAAAAAGCACGTCAAATTCGGGCCATCCGGGCTCGGAAAAAAACGCGTCTTCCGCCATAAAATCGCACAGCACGCGCACACGATCACCATACCACTCCGTCAATCGCAGGGAAAAAGAAGACCAAAAAAAAATCGAACAGGACCGTTCACTGTTGACTCCTACATGATCCGCACGACCGATCAAAACCCTCGGGCGCCCGAGAAGTTACGCAATGTCGACACGACCAACGTCGGCGAGGTCGGCCCCCCCGAGCCGCGGCCGCGCGAGGCCGGTGGCCCACGGAGGTGCCGGGAGGGGAGCGAGGCGACGCCGCTGGTGGGCGGCGCGGGCGGCCGGGCCGGCCTCCCTCGGGATCGTCGGGTGGTAGCTCGGCGGGGTCAGCCCTTCCGGCTCCTGCGCTTCATTTCGCCGATCGAGGGCCCGATCGATTGCCCGGAGACCCTAGAGTCGTCGGGGATTTCTTCTGCTGCTGCTGCTTGCTGCTTGTTCGATTTCTTTGGGTTTTCTGCTCTCGCTGTTGCTCTGTATCTGAGCGGATCGAGGGTGGGGGAGGGAGGGGGGTGTCGCTGCTATTTCGACGGCTTTTTGGGAGCTTGGGCCTTGGAGATGGTGGGCTTGGGATTTTGGGCTTTTGGGCTTGGGCTTATGGGCCTGTTTTGGTGGTGGGTGTGGCCAGACTTACAGTATTTAACATTATTTTGATCATTTTTATTCTTTGTTTCATTATTTATATATATAAATAAATATATATATATCTTTTGTCAAAAGAATAAATAAATTTTTATATTTTTTTTTGCTTTCGTCGTTCTTGTTTTAATAATAACAAATGTCCTGCTGTGTGGACGAAATTCGTGAGTTCACAAGCAGCGTTCGGTATGTTCCGATGCTTCTTAAAATATGCAGACAGTATTGGTGATCGATGATATTAATTGCCATGAGAAAGGTCTATGAAGATTCGATGTATACATTTATCAAAAAGAGGCCCTCCTTACCTAATCCATGCTAAAAAAATCGACTTCCGAATTTTGGTGTCCGCCTCTCAAATTACCATCAGACAGTTACGTTTGAAATTAAATTCAACTTAGCGAAGTAGTTGAGAGGGGTGATAGCGACTTTTGTAATTTCACGGTTACAATATCGTAAATTTAGGACGATTGAAATCGAGGAAATGAAATGATAGAGATGGGGGGAACAATTTTCTTTTCATCGTCCACCAATATGTTTAAGCATAAATTATTATCAATATGCAAATATTTTCTGTTAGTTAATTATTCCAAGCGATATAATTTAAGAAAATATTTTTCAAAGCGTGGGTTTTCTGCGAAACAAATGACCTTAAAATTAAATCAAGTGAAGCAAGGCTTTTTGCTTGTATGCAAATAATGCTTATTTCTAGAATCCATGATCTCCATACTTTTTGAAGTGCATGCGTGAAATTTCAGTCTCGTGCATTAGTATCGTCACACGACACTACATGCAAAGTTCTCGACCCAAAAAGTACTTATTACTTTTTGAGATGAATATTTTTTTCCGTTAATGTTTCCTTTGTTTTTATTGGTTATATCAATTACAACTTTAACTTAGTTGAGATAATTCTAGTCTATTTTTTTAATAAAAAAATGTCGTTCTTAAACTCACAAGAAGAAAAAGGAGAAGAAAGATTTTGATAATCTTAGACCCCGTTTATTTCACGGAAAACATATTTATAGAAAACATTTTTCTAATTTTTCGGCGTTTGGTTCACTTAGGAAAATGAGTCAACGGAAAATCTATACTTAAATTTAGGAAAATGATTTTCTCCCTAAAAAATTGGAAATCATTTTTCAAAATAGAACTAGGCAATGGTGGTTGGACCCGAAACTTTGCGCTTGGATTCGGGAACTCAATACTGGTTTTCGAATGGCTTCCAGGACCAGGTCTCCGACACTTGGGCTCGGGACCCCAGCGCCCGTGCTCAAGTCCATTGAGGCCACGCCTATGACCTAGGTGTCGGTGCCTCGATCCCCGCCTCCCCTAGGTCAAGGTCCATCGAGGCCGAACCTATGACTCTAATGCCCGTTTTCGGTTCAAATCTAATTTTCCCCGGCTTTAAGAGGCAAGTTACAAATCCCGAACTAAATGCAGTGTATTTCTATTTAAGAAAAATCAAATTAAATTTTTATGCCAATTTCGGCTAAAAACAAGAAAATATTGTCATTTTCCCGGAAAAATATTTGAAAATGTCAAATTTTTCACGAAACAAACGGAGTCTTATTAATAGGATCCATTTTGTAGAGTTGATCAAAGTACTGCTAAAATCGATTGTTTAAAGTCGCTAATACGACTATGTTTAAGACAGAGTGTGGTTGGTGTTATCTATTCCCAAACAATGTCAAGGTTTAATTGCAGAGCCTTCGCATCTGAAGTACTTTCATAGCAGCTCCCACAAAGTTGCTTCCAGGACCGGTCGTTTTGACGAAGTGCCGTAACTTTGAATGTTTCCGAAGATTGTTTTTTTTTTTTTAGGACAAAAATGCCAAACAAAACCCTACCTATTTTTTTGTGCTCTTGTCATCAAACAGTTGAACATCAATTCTTAGCAATCAGAAGAGTCACATTCAGGCAGTGTTAGCAGGAGCGACCAAGCACTTATTCATATATTTGTTTTTTTTTTTTTGGGTCGAATTTATTCAAATACAACTTTGACTACTCGTTCATTTTGTTGCTGAATAAATTACTTTTTCCTTTTTCTATTTCATCGATTGAAAGTGCTGAAATTTGTACAGAAATGGAGTAAACAAGACAATTGGACAGTGCACCAGGTCATCAGAATGTTATGTTAGCCTAGAAATTTCAGGAGCCGGAAGTTTAATACAAAATTATAACTAAATCTTTAAATTTGCAATTCTAATTTACTTAATAAAAAGAGGGATTTTATTTTTCGAAAGGGTATTTCCAAATTGTTTCATTGAAGATGAGAAATATCAAATTTTATTTTTCATTTAGCGTGGTGCTTGCTTTTTCGTTCATGCTAAAATGTTATGAATTTTCGGTGGCTTATTTTGATTGAGGGTTTAATCGCAATTCCAAAATTTGAAGTTTGGATTAAACCAAATATATATATGGCACTTTTGGAATAGTCTATTTACAATTGTATTTTTCCCATGTACTGTTTCTCAAGTTCATGATTGATTAATCACTATGTATTTTTATCAATTTAGTCCTTCAACTTGTACAATATTCACAATTGAACTTTTTTAAAGGTCCTCCATTTTCGCTTTTTAATATATCTATCATCCTTTAATTAGCACCCATCTCACATTTTTGGTACCTAGAATGGATTTTCCATTCACATGCATTTATCAATTTGGATACTCCGAAATATCGGGGAAATAATCGAGCACACGATGTAGCGTACTTTTGACCTTTTTTTAAAAAAATGCAATCAAACAAATTGTGCTCATGACCTTAAATGCAATTAAATATCTCTATACATTCTTTCAAGGTACAATAATATTAGTAAGCATTTCATTTATATTGAACTTATCGAGAAACCATACTCCGCATCTGTGACCTATCCTCACGGAATATCACCACGGCAGCGATGGAATTTGAGACATCCACGATTGTGCTCATTCGCCGGAGTGCGAGGGGCGTGCGGGTTGGCGTGGCAACCGGCTGGCGGGTCGGGGCCTTTGCACGGGTCGAGTACCGCCATTGAGATCGGCGTGGCCGCCTGGACGTGGTGGAGCACTACCATGCCAACGATGGCTAAGCAAAAGATCCACGGCCTCATCATTGAAACTCTCTCTTTGATGAGTTCTCTTGTGAATTGTTGCTTTATATATAGTGATGGTGGAAGAAGATTAACCGTAATCCTCCCGATTATGGAGGAATGCAAGCCAAAAGTCGCTTGCCTATTTTTAAGTATTTTTTTTCTATGGCTATCTTTTTTTTTCCCAAAATTAGAAACTCTTGAAAAACAAATTATGGTTACGTACTTCTTGTACTATTTCTCATATTAGACTTGTCATTACCAGATTACTCCCGATTTACCAATTCATCTTCCTCTCAATTGCTGATTCGCACAATTTGATTTCTCAAATTGTACCATAACATACGTACGTGGTTTTCGATAAAACTTCCGTCTCTTGCGCTTGCTAAACTTAGGGAAAATAATATTTTTCTTAGATATAAAACGAATTATAGACATATAACATGCAAGTCATATTAAACTCGCAAAAAACACTTTGATTTAACGTTATTTTGATCACTTTTATTCTTTTGTTTCATTATTTATATATATATCTTTTGTCAAAAGTATAAATAAATTTTTATATATATTTTTTCTTTCGTCGTTCTTGTTTTAATAATAACAAATGTCCTGCTGTGTGGACAAAATTCATGATTTCACAAGCAGCCATGTTCTGATGTTTCTTAACAGATACAGACAGTTTTGATGATCGATGATATTAATTGCCATGAAAAAGGTCTAAGAACAATAAGATTTAATGTATACGTGTATCAAAAAGAGGCCTTCCTTACCTAATCTATGCTAAAAAAGTTGACTTCCAAATTTTGGTGTCCGCCTCTCAAATTACTATAAGACACTTACATATGAAATTAAATTCAACTTAGCGAAGTAGTTTAGAGGGGTAATAGCGACTTTTGTAATTTTGCGGTTACAATATCATAATTTTAAGACGATTGACATCGAAAAAATGAAATGAAAGAAATGGAGGGAACAGTTTCCTTTTCATCGTCCACGAATATATTTAAACAAATATTTTTTTTGTTGGCTAATTATTCTAGGCGATATAATTTAGGAAAATGTTTTTCAAAACGTGGGTTTTCTGCGAAACAAATGACCTCAAAATTAAATCAAGTGAAGCGAGGCTTTTTGCTTGTATGCAAATAATGTTTATTTCTAGAATCCATGATCTCCTTACTTTTTGAAGTGCATGTGTGAAATTTCAGTCTCGTGCATTGACATGCACAGTTCTCGACCTAAAAAGTACTTATTACTTTTTGAGATGAATATTTTTTTCCGTTAATGTTTCCTTTGTTTTTATTGGTTATATCAATTACAACTTTAACTTAGTTGAGATAATTCTAGTCTTTTTTTTTTATAAAAAAATGTCGTTGCGAAACTTGCGAGAAGAAAAAGGAGAAGAAAGATTTTCATAATTTTGGACTCCGTTTATTTTGCGGAAAACATATTCATAGAAAATATTTTTCTAATTTTTCGGCGTTTGATTTTCTTAGGAAAATGAGTCAACGGAAAACCTGTGCTTAAATTCAGGAAAATAATTTCCTCCTTAAAAAATTGGAAATCATTTTTCAAAATAGAATTAGGTAATTGTGGTTGGACCCGAAACTCTACGCTTGGGCACGAAAACTCAATGCTAGTCCATGTCTCCGACACTTGGGCCCTGAACCCTGGTACCCGTGCTCAAGTCCATTGAGGCCACTCCTATGATCAAAGTGTCGGTGCCCCGATCCCCGCCTCGCCTAGGTCAAGGTCCATTGATGCAGAACCTGAGACTCTAGTGCCTGTA